CCAGGGGATGGAGGGGGGTGGTTGTCCAGAGGGAAGGCGAGCATGGGGATGGGGTCGCCAGTGTGAGGGGCACTGCTGCAGTTGTCATTTCTACCAGTCGTGTGCAGGACGGGACACACCACACTTTGTTTGGACCTGTCTAACTGGGAATATGCCTGAACTTTGACTTAGAATACTCTCGGTGCCACTGTAACTGAGAGTCTTTTGGATTCAATTTAGTGTGCTTGCTGGTGCTTTTTAAAGAGTCTTTTTAAACTTGTGCCTCTGATTTTTGACTGCTGTCCACTGATCAGCCAAGGGTAAGGGCAACCAATATCGGCATTGCATTTTCATATAAGTTTGTTACTTCCTTACAACATGACTTGTGCATTGACTCGAATGTTGCTCCGGCTAAATGCCAAATGAATTTAAACAGAAAAATGTCACTCCTGAGCACAGTCGTAGCATGAAGCGTGACTATTTGTACTTCCCACTGAGGCCTCTACTCTGGCTGAAGTTCTAATTTAAAAAAGTTGTCTTGGTGGAATAATATTACTATACTGTTCAGCATATTCTTTAACAGAACAGCCAAAAGTTCAGTGTAGTTGCTATATTTTTTGTTTTGCTTGTGTGGTTTAGTAATCAGTATAGGAAGCTAGTTATGGCACATCAGGACTTTACGAGGCAGATGTCAAAGAGTGTGAGGTGACTTACTGTGTGGCCTGTGCTTCACTGTCAACCACACAGTGGGGCCAACACTAATAACAGTTTCCATACTGGTGGTTTGGTAAAGCCTACTTTGTGAGTTCCCCATTTCTTCTACAGCAGGTCATGCGACTCAGTAGGCCTAAGTGACATTTGGTTTATTTGATAGCCAGTTTTCATCCAAGTGCCATCTACATACAGTAGTAGCCTAAGGGTATGGTTTTGCACTTTGATGGTTTTTAAATGTTAGCAATGTGCTAATATGCTATGAAATATGGCCTTACATCAGTGGCGATTTTAGCATGTAAATCTTGGTGGGGCAAAAATTAAAAAATGTGGGATGTATGCCAGCAAAGCCACTACACACAACACAACACTAAACAATACATTAATTGCACTACAACGGTGACAAACGGTGCCCACAAACAGCAGTCCCAACATCTTACCACTACTACACCTGGCTATCAGCTGAGCCTTGTCTGGCAGCAAAACAGTTCATTCAGCCTCATTTACTGCCTTTTAAAAAACATAGCTGATATGGCTGACTTGCTTAAACAAATGTGGTTTCTAATGACAATTGAGATGTACAAACTATGGCATAAGGGGACGACAACGCGGATAACAGGCAATCCGTAATTTGGATTAAGACATTAATGAGCGAGCTAGGACTGACGTAGTCAATATAACTATTTGTTTAACCCTTTTGAAATGTACAGCTACAGAATTCAGAACATCGGCCGATCTTACAGTGTTCTCCCTGTATACCAAGTCAGAACCGTAGGATAAATAAAGGGGGCATATAAGCAGACAATGAAAGCTCTTACACTATTCGATGATTACATTTCTCTAAAACAGGTTATAGGCTACATGTGCACCACCAAGTCAGAACAGTACGCGAAATTAAGAGGGGGAAAATAGACCAAATTAGTATTACCTTCTTAGCTACAGTATACATATCTCCCTGGCATATTACATAATTTATGCAGCAGCATACAAGACATTTTTGGACTCACCTTGTTGTGCTGTGCTCATTTGAACAGGAAGGTGGCACGGCGGTCCTTCGTGGGCAGATTTTCTCATCAAAGTCTGGCATTCTCTGGATTTATGGTGCTTTCAAGACAACTGGGAACTCTGGAAAAAAACAAGGTTGAATCATGATGACGTCATTGATCTTCAGGTCGTAGCTCTAGAAGGAGGCCCGAGTTCCGGATTTACAATTCTGAGTTGGATGACCGCTCAAAACTTATTTCCCCAGTCGGAGCTTGTTTTTTCCCGAGTTCACAAGTTGTCTTGAACTCACTTTCGCAGTCCGGGTTAACAGTTGTTTTGAGCGCGCCACAAATCATGCTTCATTGACAGCATGGCCAATGTTGAATGTTTCTCATTTTAAACTTGGAAAATAGACCCTTAATCCCAGATTTGGGCCCACACAGCCACTCCACTGAGTAGCAGGCTAGTGATTGCTTTGCAATGCTTGCAGTTAGCCACTGATTCCTTCCAAACCACTCATTGTTGAATTTGCGATTTCCATTTTCCATTTTCCATTTACATTTTAGTCATTTAGCAGACGCTCTTATCCAGAGCAACTTACAGTTAGTGAGTGCGTACATTTTTTCATACTGGCCCCCCGTGGGAAACAAACCCACAACCCTGGCGTTGCAAGCGCCATGCTCTACCAACTGAGCTACACGGGGCCTAATGTTTATGTCCAATGGCCGATGAGCACCCATACGTTTTATCTATAATTTATCTTCATTATTTCTCTTCATATGACAAGGATTCAAAAATATTTGCCAGTAGATTGTTGACTTGATTCATGATAATGACTGCTAGCTAAGATTTTGAAAGTATGATGTTGACATGATCAGTCCAATCAAAGCTACTGTAGATAGAACGTGATTTTGACGTCATTTTATCTGTGGCCAATGACCTTGAGCCTTCAAGGGGCTTGAATTTTTTAGCTCTACCCTTAGACTTGGTGGTGACGTACTGTCCCAACGAGTGACAGAACACTAAGCTAATCACGGCGCAACTAGAGAACATTACCAACACCTACGCTCTGTATTTTCCGCTGGCTGCCCCACCACCACAGAAACAACTGAGCTAGGCTGAAACACCTGCATTTTGGAGCTGCCTTACTCAAGAAAGCAAAAAAGAGACCACGTTTGTATGCGGCTTTATTATATATTTTTTACATTGTTTACCAACTGATATGTGACACGTATTAATGCCAAAATAACATGCAAAACAGGCTCTGCCCCACCTGCCCTGAATGATGGGTCGCCACTGCCTTACATTATCGTTTATTTTTGTCTGTTCTTTCGTGACTCGCATAACTGTGAGAAAAATAACTCTTTCAAGCTATTGATCTGTGAAGTAAAGTTAGTTAACTCCAATTTTCCACGTTTCCATTGCAATTGGCTGCTCACTGAGAGTCTGTGTTTTCAATAGGGGTTTGAGACACTAACTGAAAAGGAGTTGAGTTTTTCAAGTCATGTCAATTCTACTTCCTTTAATTATATTCATTTAGCATGCTTAACAAAGTCACTGATCATATACTTTTGAGCAAAAGCCCCTGCTAATGATCATGCAGCCTCAATAAATATTCCTCAGATGAATAACAGAATGATGAGAACTCTTGTGAGAGTCACTGCAGGTGCATAGGGGATGTGAAGGATACAATGTAAGTACGTTGAACTCTTCAAATGAGGTTAGTGAAAGAACCTTGGTTGTCTAACCAAAAATGTATAATTATTACACATGTTGGGTAAATACATTGCAATCTCCTTCTATACGTTGAGTTGTGCTAAACACAGGTAATCTCCTGAAAACAAAATCACAATGTTTGAAGGAATAGAAAAGTGTCATTTTTCTCTTAATGTGCTGCTGAGTATTTACGGTCTCATTGCCATATTTATGCCATAGAAACAAGGTACGGTTCTATGTACATTAGCTTTTATTCACTAATGACTTGTAAAAGCAGGAAAACTGTTTCAAATTCGACATAACACTGAACCAAGACATTCCAACACCCACTCACCTGTAGTCTTAAAAATAAACAAACGTGATACTATTTAGTGATAGATGGCTATACTTAGGTGCCAGTCAACTATCTGGATCTTGTCTGTCTAGCTCTTTTTTGAGGCCTCATTGACAAAATATGCTCGACTGGTGACAACCAACGCATGCACACACAGACCTGTGCACACACACCGTCTCCCCGAATGTCACATTGATGTCATCAGTGTTTTGTCTAGAGGGTGTTTTTCTCTAACAGACCTTCAGCGCTGGTTGGCCCTCATCTGATGCGAGGTGAAAGGGAAGGTTTGGGGGGAGGGGCACCCATTGGGTTTCTCCAACCGAAAGAAAGATGATGAATTGAGTATTCCCATTACAGACATACTGGGGGAAGAACCTGTGGAAAGCAGCAAAGGATACTTACTCTACCGAGGCACCTTTTCATTTTGTTCTGGCATGGCCTCTGGAGCGTTCCAGGTGAATGGGAGCAGTTGCCAACTCCCAGGGGTGGGTGGGTGTGGTCCTGTTTGTGCGTGAGTCTGATGTCACCTGACAGGTCAAACCACATCGCCACACTAATGACACATTGACAGAGACAAGCCACTGTCAACAACAAACCTGACTACACCAGTCTTCTGGCCCTCTTTGTGCATATGAATGTGTGTGTTTGTGTACAGTTAAGTGAGAGTGCCTTCTGCGACATAAACTTGTGTTTGTGTATGAGTTTGTGATTTGTTGTATGTGTGGTGGCGGTAGTTTCGTGACAGTTGGGTGCTTTGAGGTTGTGCGCCTGTGTTTGTGTATCGTGTGTGTATGTGTGTTGTTGGGGTAGACTGCAGTATTGACAAGACTGGCAGCGGGGGCGTGATTCACGAGCCGAGGAGCGCAGATCTCTTTACCGCCCATCCCAACCCTGTCCAACCTCCTCCAATCTTCCCACCCCCTTCTAGAAGTGCTGCTCTTGCACTGCAGCTACCCCCTCACCAAATCCCTCCCTACGATTGGTGAAGAGGAGGACGAGGAGGGGGGTGGGATCATATTCCCCTGCCAATGTTGGCAGCATAGACACAGGCACAAGCCCAGTCATAAGCCAAACAGCAGACCCAGGTCCAGCTCCCCTCCTTCCTTCCTCTCCTCAAAATAATCCAAGCCCACCACCATACATTTCTCCACCATATCACTCACACAGATTCACCTTCACACTGAATACTTCGGTAATAAGTCACAATGCACACCCGTCTGACCAAAACAAGCGGTCAGTCAACAGGCAGAGCGAAGCGGGATGGCTGTCCCGGAACATGAGGCAACAGCTGGTGCTGGGAGTACAGCCCAAGGTCCCACTGGGCAGGATGAGAGAGAGATCAGTAGCCCAGGTACTGCCTGTATTTGCGGATATGTCTGCCCCAATGAAGGGCTAACTAATCAGACTCCTGCCTCTCTGTTGAGGTGGCCTCCATGCCTCAGGTGTGGATTGTAATGATTATACGCAATACTGTGGTGGCACTCTGGTTTGATTGGATTCAATTCAATTCTGAGTAGCAATTTCATTTGTATGGAGCAGCCAGACTGTCATCCATCATCTAATATTTTATCGTTCATACAGGGAGAAGGGATTATACCTTTACCCTAGCTAGGGTGACCATGGTGATACTGAATATAAGTATTGATTTGCCTGGACTACGAACTGAGAGAGAGATCTGTCTTGTTGATAGCCTCCCCAGAGCCCGTAGCCCCCATGCAGCCGGAGAGGGAGATTCTGTCTGCTCCCAATGAAACCTGAGGCTTCAGCAGAGCTGTAGGAGACTCCCCTGATATTGGTGATGTCTGCCAACAAGGCAGCGTAAGCATATACACAGCGAAGCTTGTAACTGCTCTCAATAAACAGATCTGGATACATAAAACAAAACAAAACCCACTCTGTGTCCATTAATTAGCTGCCAATGAGAGGCAACTTACATTTAATGGTTCATTCTCTCATGATATGGGTGTAAGTAACAGTTTCCTAACTATAGTGTAGCAGTGTTTGTTATGAGCAGACTGTGGTCAGTCCTGGCAGGCTCTGGTGCTGAGTGGGAAAGGTGATGGATTTCTCAGCAGTGCTCTGGCCTGACTCCAGCAGCCCCTACCACTGACTGTTATCTCTGTGGGTGCTCTGATCCAACTTACAAAGAGATGAACATACACACACACGCTCGCAAATATACATAATTGACAGCTTGACACATGTATAGCCGAATACACTGACAGGCTGACACACAGTCATACATACACGTATATATGCATTGACAGAAGGACATACACACATGCACAAAACCTCTCCAACACAAATATCTCTGCCCATATGCCCTGCTGCTGTGGCATGCAATTGTCATTAGTGCTATATGTCATGACTCAGTCGTGACCCCTGTGCCTCTGCACTGTAGGCTATGACACATGCAGCAGGGTGGATAAGGTGGTGGCAACTCTGTGCAACACTGTGGCTCCTACTGTGTTGCACCACCTTGTAGCCAATGGCTCTGCTCCCTCATAGGCTGAACAGGAAGTGGTCGTCTGAAATGGTTGAAAGAACAGCAACAGATGTTCTGAACTTGCACACAAATGATGCACCAATGTGTATCCGTTCTTTTATGGATTATAAAAGTGCCTTACATTTCTGACCTTACATGCAAAGATCTTCCCCATGTAGTGTAGCTGTTGATATTTTACTATCTTCAGTATACTATCTTCATCAACAATACAGATACAAATTGCATATATTTTAGGGGGTTCCTCTGGGCTCAATGCAAGACCACTGCAGAATAGCTTTTATCTGTGTTAATCTGTTCCTTGTCTAAAGTGTCTCACACACTCTCCCTAGTTCAGTCAGTCAGTAGACACTCTCCAGGCCCTCTGCCTTCAATGTGAGAGCAGAGATTCTGCCTGACATCACACATGGGAGGCTGACTCCCGCAGCATGAAGGGTAAAAGGTTGAGGCTTGAACACCCCAGGCAGATAAAGCAGCCTTTTCATGTGTGACCTCCCTGCAGCCCAAAACAAATCCCACTGACCGCTGCCTTTGAACTGTAGACCAATGTTCCTATGGCAGGAGCCTCTACTATCTGAGTGTATAACATAAAACTCAAAAGTGTTTTCTGTTTTAGTTTGAGTATTTTCAGTATAAACCTGTCTCTTCTACAGTCTTTGGCAAATATAACAACCCCCTCCAGAGTTTCTCCTGTTTGCTTGTATATAATGGGCATTTCCATCTAAAAGGACCCATGAGCACACACATGTGAAGTTCATAGGAGCATGTCAAATTGGGTGTCAAATGAACGGTAAGAGTTTTAGAAATTAAGGCATATATACATTTCTCAACCATTTTCCATCCTAAAAATGTGTAATAAGCAAAAGCTTTCATTTCTGGTCAAACAGATAGAAAAAGGGGTCTTGGACAACATCGACCAGAAAAATTATTGAAAGGTATTAGATGTACATCAAAACACTAATGTTGAAGTAAAGACCCCTGCCAACTAATATCAACACTTACAGTGCCTTCAGAAAGTATTCACACCCCTTGACTTTTTCCACATTTTGTTGTGTTACAGCCTGAATTTTAAATGGATTTAATTGAGATTTTGTGTCACTGGCCTACACACAATACCCTATAATGTCAAAGTGGAATTTTTAGAAATGTTATGGCACGCCTAAATAAGTTCAGGAGTAAAAATGTGCTTAACAAGTCACATAATAAGTTGCGTGGACTCACACTGTGTGCAATAATAGTGTTTAAGATTATTTTTTAACATGATTACCCCACACATACAATTATCTGTAAGGTCCCTCAGTCGAGCAGTGAATTTCAAACACAGATTCAACCACAAAGACCAGGGAGGTTTTCCAATGCCCCACAAAGAAGGGCACCTATTGGTAGGTGAAAAATAAGAAAAGCAGACATTGAATATTCCTTTGAGCATGGTGAAGTTATTAATTACACTTTGGATGGGGTATCAATACACCTAGTCACTACAAAGATACAGGCGTCCTTCCTAACTCGGTTGCCGGAGAGGAAGAAAACCACTCAGGGATTTCACCATGAGGCAAATGGTGACTTTAAAACAGTTACAGAGTTGAATGGCTGTGATAGGAGAAAACTGAGGATGGATCAACAACATTGTAGTTACTCCAAAATACTAACCTAAATGACAGAATAAAACATATTCCTAAACATGCATCCTGATTGCAATTAGGCACTAAAGTAAAACTACAAAAAATGTGGCAAAGAAATGAACTTTATGTCCTGCATACAAAGCGTTATGTTTGGGGCAAATCCAACACAACAAATCAGTACCACTCTTCATACTTTCAAGCATAGTGTTGGCTGCATCATGTTATGGGTATAATTGTCATCGACAAGGACCATGGAGTCTTTTATGATAAAAATAAACGGTATAGAGCTAAGCACAGGCAAAATCCTAGAGGAAAACCTGGTTCAGTCTGCTTTCCAACAGACACTGGGAGACAAATTCACCTTTCAGCAGGACAATAGCCTAAAACACAAGGCCAAATATACACTGGAATTGCTTACCAAGACGACATTGAATGTTCCTGAGTGGCCTAGTTACAGTTTTGGCTTAAATCGGCTTGGAAATCTATGGCAAGACTTGAAATGGAATACTTTCTGAAGGCACTGTATATTTAGTTTTGGATAAATTATTTGCCTTCTGTAACTTTTTAAGAAACATTGCCTTGTGCCTAGGGCTGTGGCGTTCATGAAATCTCATCAGCCGGTGATTGTCAAGCAAATAATTGTCGGTCTCACGGTAATTGACCGTTAATTAACATAAACACATTTAGCATCTCCTGGCTTCCACACAAGCCACTGATGCAGTCCTTTGGAACATCTACATTTAAAAAAGTCTAATAAATCCATGTAATATAGCCTACACCTTCACAATAAATCTGTTATTTATTTTAGACAGGTCTAAAGAAGCATGATATGAAGAGAATGTAGTCTATTTCAGAAGAACAGAATAGTATACTCTGAGTTGTCCTTATGTTAGATCCTAACCGGGCTATGCCAAATGGCTGTGGGCTACACTAGTTCATTTAGCAGACAAGATTTGCTTAGAATTCCTTGGCATTATTTCGTAGTATGAAGAATACAATTGAACAAAGCTGAATAAAATAGAAAGGATATTTTCTCCAAACGATTTGAGGGAGTGCGCACTTGCGGCTATTCTGTGTTGCATGCTTAACAAAGAAATAGGTATTCCTATATGCTTAATTTAGAGTTATTAATGTAACTTTTAGTTGTTCTACAAACGTTGGGCTATATGTTTTGATTTTGAATACATTGTAAGGCTGCATGATGCGACTCTAATGATGACTTGAAAAAAGTTGCTTGAAAGGCTTGAGCTCTGCTTTGTTTTTTGCGCAAACTGTGCACACATCAGTCACTCATTCACAATTTGACAAGCACTTGATAATGCCTAGAATTTCATGGCGGCATCCCCTTTGTGTGGCTGTAATGCACCCAAAAAAAATCCATGCCTTTTGCGGCCAGTGGCTGTTGTGCCCTTCTCCCTGAGTGCTGTGCGCTCCATCACGTGATCAGGTCTTTCTCACAGGCTACAAGTGAAGACCGACACATCGGGGACGGAACTACGCGCGTCCTTATCCAATTCCGAGGTGCATATTGAAGATATTGGAAGAACTGTGCACATTTACTTTTCATCAGTCAACAAGATGAGTAGGCCTAACGAACGGCAAAAGCACTAGCCTATGTCAATCTACTATTCCCCATAGTACAAAGGTTTACCTATTCTGTGCGAGAAATAAATATTCCAAACATAGTCTGGGACAGTTGTGGGATGCGATAGATCCCAAATTAATACAACCACTAGCGTCAAAAAAACATTTTTTACGCAATGTGGCTGACGCAACAGATCAGAACGTTTAGCTTCAAATGTTGATCAACTATTAGGCTATTTCTTTACATTATAAGCGCCGCAATGAGCACATGGTAGTAGGCTATAAGCGCAAATGTTCCATTAGCGGAAAACACCATTATCAAAAGTGACCGCAAATGCAATTATGCATGTAATGCTTTTATTATAAAGGTGCATTTTTATGGTGAAAATTATCTTCCCCAAACTTGAAACTCATGCGCAGCTTATGTATGCCAGGCTCTACACCAGGGTTCTTAAATTCCGGTCCTGGAGGGCCGAAACACTTCTGTTTTTTATTTCTACCTGGTAGTTAATTGCACTCACCTGGTGTCCCAGGTCTGAATTAGCACCTGATTAGAAGGAGAGGATGAAAAACAGAGGTGTTTCGGCCCTCCAGGACCGGAATTAAAGAACCCTTCTCTACACTAAGTTATTTGGCCACTTTAGTTGTGATACAAACCTTATTAAAACATTTAGGCCTATGGGCTAGGCTACATGAGGTGTGCGACTATGATTAGAAAAAGTAGCAAAAAAAAGGCATTGTTTCTTATGCTGAGGATCGTTTACAAGTGATAATATATAATTCACAAGTGATTGTCACCCATCAGGGTAATCTTGTCTTTACATATACTAAATAATATATTTGTGAAATTTGTTTTGATTTAGAATAGACTATTATCATGCACCTGTATCGTAATAGGGACAGCGGGAAAAAATACATGTCATCTATGCACTTCAATAGCGAATGGAGGATGCTTTTCCCCGTGGTTTATTTTCATGCCAGACAGGTAGGCTATACTCCTTTTGTAAATATAAGCAATGTGCTTAATATTAGGAAAGCTGAAAAATAAATATAGTAGGCCTAGCCTATAGAAAGCTGATCCTCCTCTTTTTAGTAGAGGCCATCACTCTGTTTTCTCGCGCAATTGCCTAACCTATTGAAATGTTGCGCAACATGAGCTCATGGACTCTCATGAAGTGTTTGATTAGATTTTCAAACACATTTGCATTGATGTCAGAGTGATTAGAGGGACAATAGAGTGCTGAGTACCAGGCAGTTAGCAAGTTTGGTGGGATACTAATGACAATCAGCAGCATCAGAGCTTGGAGAAGCCTAATTACCGTGACTAAACGGTCACGTGGAATTTGACTGCTTTCATGACACGTGACCGCCGGTGTGGCGGTAATATGGTCACCGCAACAGCCCTACTTGTGCCTTGAAATTCCATTACCAAAAACCCTCATATCTTGAAGAAATGTTCTTATTTATCTCCCTCATGAGGAGGGAGGATAATGAAATTGAACAGAAGAAACAAGTAAAGGAAGACCTACCAATTAGTTGTAGTGTTTTTACTGATATCAAGTTTGTTTATTAATTATTAAGTGATTCAAACTCGTAATTCTGTTACCAAATCGTTAACCGAATTACCGAAAAATCTGTAATGGAATTGCTGCAATTGAATTGGCTACAATGGGAAATCATAGTAGTCACAAACCACAGGTCACCTGCTACTGTCCTCCCTTCCACTGTTTTTTTCTTTCTTTCTGTCATCTGGTGGTCAAAGCAAGACTGTTAAAACAGTATGGACAACCCCTCCCTCTCACTCACTCACTCACTCACTAACTCTCCCTCTTTCTCTCGCTCTCCCTCTGCCACATTCTCTATCTCGAGTTAATGTCACGTCTCCCGGCTCTTCCTGACACCTACCATGACACCTACCACCTACCCTCTTTCCATTTACTGTAACAAGCATCCTCACCCACTGGGCACCGACCAACATCGCACGTCCATGGATGTTGAAATTTGGTCAGTCTGCCCTGGCCGGACCAAATTTCAACCAATCATACATGTCTATGTTTCACAAGTTTGGACAGTACAATAGACCAAGTAGAGAACAGTACAGTAAAGTAAAGAAGTAGAGTACAGTACACTTGTAAAGTACAGTATAATTTAATGTACTGAACGTATCTACTTTACTGTGCTCTGCTTTGCTGTACTGTACTGTACTCGACTCTACTGTGCTGTACTGTGATGTCCAAACTTGTGAAACATAGACGTCTATGATTGTTTCAGATTTGGTCTGGTCCGGACCAACCAAATGTGGTCTTGTTTGGGGGCGCAGCTCATTACAATAATAGCCAGTGTGTAGAATAATACCCAAATATGCAAAAGAAGGATGTTGCATATTTCTACCTTTTTGTGTACCTATTCAGGATACATTACCATGAAGAGAATGATATTCACATCCATAATTATGCATTTCTGTATAGTACAGATCAGGGACTCATGATGTAATTCCGTTACCGTAATTCTGTTACCAGATGTAAATCCACTTCACTTACTGTAGTTCAATAACCAAAATATATATATTTTTAAACTAAAGGTGTCATGTCATAGTTGACACCCTGTTCTTTCTGCAGACATCTTTGAATCTTAATCGGAGCAGATATTTAAGAGTTTTTGGAAAACTTTGTCGCATAAAACACTGAGGGAAATTTTACAGTAATTATGTTACCAAACTTTGCATCTGCACAGTTCTTCCAGTAAATGTGTTTTTCTTAAATGTTCTGTGTAAATTGTTCAAAGTAGTCCTTGTGCATTAAGTTGTATGGTTTGTTAAACTTTGAAAGTGAAAAATCTCAAAGCGTAATTCCGTTACCGTGGAAATGCCCTAATACAACCCCCTCCATATTTTCCATGTAAAACGAGAGCTGAAGCTGCCTCTAGTTCTTTTGTTAGGGCTTTCTTTTTAAGAGAACCATTATGACATGCATAACCCCCTTTTCTCAGACTTCTCCCATTGTCCTGCCTCCAAGCCAAATACGTAGTGCATAATTCATGAAGAACTCATTGCCATAGTGAAGGCAATTGCATCAACTAAAAGCAAATGTGTGGTCCGTGTCCGTGCACACACCGACACACAGAATCCGTTCTATCACGTCATTGTTTGTTTTTTATTGTAATGGAAGCAGAGCAGGCATTAATCAGGGGGTGGTTTCACTGTTCTCTCAGGTAAACAATGTGGGTGATGTAGTGTTGAAAGTGTACTCAAGGCTTTCCAGATGCACTCACTCTCTAATGCAGTGACTCGGCTCCCACTGTCATGTGGGTGTGTGAATAGTACACAGTCTGGATGTATATATAGAGAGCTATTTTTAAGGCTGAACCACAAATAGTAGTAGTGGGGCTTAATTAAAATGGTCCATGCCTCTGTTGCCATTCCCGGGTTGCGGTCTGCTCGTTCATTCATGAATTCATATGCACACATGTACTCTGCACTCTCTCATTTGCTGTCTCTCTTTTTGTTGTTACAAATTGCTATACATTGCAAAAAAAGTAATAATAAATCCCTGTTTAGTTAAAGGGGCAATCTGCAGTTGCTACACCCACTTTTGGACTAATTTAATTAATGATATATGTATTGATTCTTAAAGAATATAACTTTAGAAATGCCTCATGAGCTTAGTTCAACTGTCACACCCCATCAGAACCCAAAATATAAGCTTGTTTTACTCCAATGTTTGTAAACATTATAAATGTAAACAAACACTGTACAGCCTAAAAACATGGTTAAAACGATAATTTTGATTATTATAGATCAGGGTTCTTCAATTCCGGTCCTGGAGGGCCGAAACACCTCTGTTTTTCATCCTCTCCTTCTAATCAGTGGCTAATTCAGACCTGGGACACCAGGTGAATGCAATTAACTACCAGGTAGAAATAAAAAACAGAAGTGTTACGGCCCTCCAGGACCGGAATTGAAGAACCCTGTTATAGATGGTCAGTCCCCCCCCCCCCCCCCCCCCCCCCCCCGAGGGGCTCCCGCAGTGCGCGCCAGGCTCACTTGCCCCCATGGGAAACACTAACCCCAAGAGAAGGGTTCCCCGTCCTTCAGTTCCCCCCGCTGCTGCGGCTGCTCTTTTGAAGCGTGCTTCTAATTTGTCCGAGAGGAACCCTGACTTAAATGCATCGCTTTGGTTTCTCTGTCGAGTACTGTGGAGGTTTAAAGGCTAAGACAATTGTTGATTTATGAAGGACGTTGGCAAGAATGGTACATGAACAATACCTGTAATTCCTGAATCTCATACTGATCCAATGCTCTCTTCTATTTTCCAGGAGTAACACACGTGCAGTAAAGAGGGGAAGAGGATCCTAATTCAGAGGACCAGTGGATGACCTGCCTGCTGTACAGACCATGATCTGAAGGCCCCGCCACGTGGCCCCAGACTTTCTTCTTCATTTTTTTCCTGCAGGGGTAAGAGCTCCTAGAGCAGCTGCCTCAGACAGGTGGAGCGGAGGGAGATAGAGAGAGTGTGTAAGAGAAAGAGTGTGACAGCCAGGAGCCTAGTCGGCAACAGTGCCCACCAACGACCTCCACAGGACAGCCGTGCCCTCCGACCCCGCCACGCCCCCCGCCCCTCCCACCGCCAGACCGGAACCATGGGAAGGAAAAAGATCCAAATACAGAGGATCACAGATGAACGGAACAGACAGGTGTGTGTGTGTGTGTGTGTGTGGATTATGTTTCTTTGTATGTAAAAACTCTTATCATGCCTATGACTACACCAGTATTGTTCCAAGACGATGGAAGGGTAAATGAGTCAACCGGTTAATGGGCTTTGGTTGATTGAGCTTATTGAGTAATGGATGTGATGCCTCTGCCATCCCCCCCAAAATCCCTGGCTGAGTAAAACCTGAGTGTTTTAGACACTAGGTGGCCTGAGATCCTGCAATTATCTTACATTTCTTCTGTTAAATCTTTACGGATGCCCATTTTCATAGAACAGCACACACACAGACTCAAAATGCTTCAGGCATTCAAGCATTATGTTGATTCATCATTCAAGAAAAGTTGAGAGAAATATTGGTGATCCATCATCCTACTAGATGTTGATTACAAGATACTGTCAATAGCACAATTGGATTGGCCCCGTCCCCAAGGCTATGGACTCTGACTGAAATTCAACTGCATATGAAATACATGTTGTGAACAGAGAGCTTTAGAACCACTAATAGTTGACATAGTAATGGATTATTAACTGAACGCCGAATGCTACAGAGAGCATGAACACTCCTGAAACAATGCAGGTGCAGAAAGTAGAGCAGCTGGGGAGGTTGTGGTTGTCACTGTGGCTTCCTCCTCTCCTCGCCACACAACCACACTCATGCGAGGACACGGTAATGAAACAACTCATCCCTCTCATGGAGGATGTCTTGTTCTGTCGTTCGTTGCCATTGGTTACTTGCAATTCTATTCTTAATGTCAATTATGTTCAGCTTGTTTATCCTGGCATTCATGTCGAAGGAAGGATCAAGACTAATTATTGTCGAAGACTCGGTGTACCTCACGCCTCCCACAAATCAGAGTATTTCTCTTCATAATAAACAGGCTTATAATTGGTTATGAAAAACATTGGAATTGTATTGTTTATCAGCTCTGTGAGCCTGGCTTGCCATTGTCCTCGCTGAACTTTCTTCCCCTTGTTTCTGTGTGTGTGTGCGCAAGGAGATGATTGTGTGAGTGTGTGTGATGGGGTTTGAGGGAGGGGGTGGTAGGCGGTTGCCCATGGATACGACCCCGATATAATTTGATTTGTGGCAGCGGGAAGCAATGAGTGAGCAAGAACAAGGCAGGGAGAGAAAAGGAGGAAAAGGAGGGAGAGAAAAGAAAATGAGAGAGACGTAGACAGTGAGAGAGAGAGACGTAGACAGTGAGAGAGAGAGACGTAGACAGTGAGAGAGAGAGACGTAGACAGTGAGAGAGAGAGACGTAGACAGTGAGAGAGAGAGACGTAGACAGTGGAGAGAGGAGACTGAGACAGTGACAGTGAGAGAGAGACGTAGACAGTGAGAGAGAGAGACGTAGACAGTGAGAGAGAGGAGACGTAGACAGTGAGAGAGAGACGTAGACAGTGAGAGAGAGAGACGTAGACAGTGAGAGAGAGAGACGTAGACAGTGAGAGAGAGAGACGTAGACAGTGAGAGAGAGAGACGTAGACAGTGAGAGAGAGAGAGAGACGTAGACAGTGAGAGAGAGAGAGAGACGTAGACAGTGAGAGAGAGAGACGTAGACAGTGAGAGAGTACAAGGAGAGAACACAAGCTGGCTCCTGCCCCACAGAGAGGTATCAGTATAACATGGGGGTGCTCAAGCAATTACAAGGGAGAGGGGATGGAGAGAGTGAGAAAGAGAGAGAGCGAGCAGTTGAAGGTCTCACATGGCAGCTGTAGAATCTGCATGTGTGGTTCCTTTCCGTGCATCTGCTTCCTCGTGCGCCTCTCTGATCCTGTCTACAGCAAAACAAACAAATTCAAATCCCTCATTTGCATAAATGCTTCACAATACCAAGGGAGTGGTAATAAACAACACCACAACACACTGCAGGACCTCATCCCTGTTGTCACCTTTAATTAGCTCTCTGTAGTGTGTTGTTTGTTCACACATTGGCTGTTCTCTAAGATACTTATTTAATTACTGTTATTGATATATTCCCTCACACTTTTATTACGTTTAACCTATTATTATACAGTACCAGAAATTCCTTCACTTTTATAGTATCGCTAATGTTATTTTTCTTCCTCTTTCCTTCTATGCCAAATATCCCCCTCCCCTTCCCAATATCACCTGCCAATCTCCCCCCTCCCTCCCAATACCCTCCCCCACAACATCCCTTCTCTACCACCCTCTAATATACCCCCCCATACCCACACCATCCCTCCCCTCCCAGGTGACGTTCACCAAGAGGAAGTTTGGCCTGATGAAGAAGGCCTATGAGCTGAGTGTGCTGTGCGACTGTGAGATCGCCCTCATCATCTTCAACCACTCCAACAAGCTGTTCCAGTACGCCAGCACCGACATGGATAAGGTCCTGCTCAAATACACAGAGTACAACGAGCCCCACGAGAGCCGAACCAACGTCGACATCATGGAGGTAATGGAGGGGGGAGAGAGGAGGAGGGAAGAGCAGGGAGGTGTTACTGTGTAATTCCCTGCAGGAGATGGTGAACAGGGTGGTTGTGTGTTTTGAGGTAGTGGGGGAGATGGGGGGGAGGGGAAAGGTGTTACAATATGGCATTTTAGTACAGTGCCATGGAGGAGAGGCGGTAATGAAATGGCTCGCTGTGTTTCATTTTGTTTTTACAGCCGTGGTTGTAATATAGTTGTAATTTGGTCATAATATGCTAGTTTTTAAGGTAGTTTAGATTTGATAACACTTTATTTTATGGTTTGCCTATAAACTGATTTTGCATTATAATTTTTTTTAACATTTTGTTAATAAATTAAGTTGGCAATATTTCTGGAGTGTTTGATGATTTATATTTGATAACAGGCCCATGTGACCTGATGTGATGTTTTCTTGATATCAGGAGCTGTTTTATGTTTGACTACCACCACTCTGGTCTGGAGGAGCGCTTTCAATCCATAGACATCAGGTCTTCATTTATGTAGCAGGAAAAAGGATGTTTTTTACTTTCTCTTTTCTTTTTTAGGTAACTGTTCGAGTTTTCAAGATTGCTTTTTTAGTTTCTTGTGCTTTTCTCTGTTGAATCCTTGGTTAAATCCAGAGTTGTCTGGATGTTGTGTTTGTCATAGCCAGAGTAGATGAATATAAACACAAGCTACAAGCCTTCATCATTCATTCCTCTTAAAGCAAATGTCTAGTGAGAGAGAGAGAGGGAGGGAGTGAGAGGGCAGCTACAGTATCTTCCATGACATTATCTCAGAGAGAGAAGGAGACAGATCGAGAGGGAGAGAGGGAGATGGAGAGGGCAGCTAGCATGGGCCGGCTCTAGAAGGCCCTAAATGTACACCAGTGTGCTGTGGACAGATTACAGGCTCGTGTGGGGCCTGTTCCAGTATCCATCCAGGCCTGGCCGGCTGCCTGGTGCCTGGGATCATGGAGGGAGGGCAGAGGTAGGGACAGCTGGACCTGCTGTCACCACCCCCTGGCCTTGGCCGGGGCTCCAAGGCCACTCCAACAAAAAGCCTCCGGTCCCCCTGGAACCACTCTGTCACAAAATGGAGGGCTGCATGAAGGAGGAGGAGCATAGAGATAGTTTTCTATATAGGGAATGTGAATGAGGTTACATTGAGCGAATGAGTGGTCAAGGGATATCTTTTGTTCACCAACATGGATGTGCGGTTTAATTTATCTGCCTTGATAAAGGTTTCCTCATGGATTCATAACAAATGGGAAAATACGTTTTTAACTGGCTATTTAAATATTAACTTACCATTTATAATTTATATGCAGTGAAGCCTTTTCGCTCTATGAAGACCATGTCACTGGATCATGAAATACTTGCTACAGAAGTTGCAGCTGTCCATTACCACGTGGAATAACTGAGATGGCATTCAGAGTGTAAATGAGTCTCTCTCGCTCTCTGTCTCTCTCTCTTTCTCTGTCTGTCTCTCTGTCTGTCTGTCTGTCTGTCTGTCTGTCTGTCTGTCTGTCTGTCTGTCTGTCTGTCTGTCTGTCTGTCTGTCTGTCTGTCTGTCTGTCTGGCAGAGGTGAAGGCTTTCAGTGGGAGAGCTACATGGAGCTCCAGTTGCAGATGGCTCTTAAGTGTGTGTGCTAGTGTGCTGTGGGAGGGCGTTTGGCCACTCCGGGCCACATTAGCTCCACTGGCTGTGTGTGTGTATGCCTCTGTGTGTGTGTGTGTGCCTAATGTGTGTATGCCTGCCTGTATTTGTGTGTAAGCCTTCATGTATGTGTGCATGCGCCTGCTCTGCAGTGGCCCGTGAGAATGCCTCATACAATATTCAGGCCAGATGAGAGCCTCAGCGCGGGAGTGTGTCACTGCCTGCATCCATATGAGGGTTCCCCAATGCATCTCCATCTCCTTTTGCAAGCCTCAGGCCCAGAGGCAAACCACTGTTCTGCTGCCAATCCCCAGACCGCTTGTTTAGTTTCATCTGTATTGTGTAGCGAAGGTGAGCAGGGAAAGAGGAGGAGAAAGACGGTGGGAGAGAGAGAGAAGAGGGGCTGAGCAGATAGGCACAAAATGTGTCCATTTGCCGCTCTGCCTCCCCGTGTCTCTCCCAGCAAGTGCTATGAATTATGGAGTTGGATGCAGTCACGCACACACACTTAGTCATACGTTATGCTTACTATATACCATACGCACTCACACACACACGCACACACACACACACACACACACACAGTACATTAATATACACACACATAAATATATAGACCCAATGCTCAAAAGCACTCATACTAACACTGAAATGTGTATACATACACACTCTCTCTCTCACACACACACACACAGACACACTCACAGACACACTCAATATTCTTCACACAGTTAGGCATTCCTTCACTCTAGTACACGGCTGGGTGGTGATGCATATGTACACACACAGCCTCTCTCTGTGCTGCACGTGTTGTGTGTGTAGTGTGTGTGTGTGTGGGCAGCCTGCCTCTACTGCCAGGACGTCTTAATCCACTTGACTGCAGATCCCAATCAGGGGCGAGGGAAGGAAAAGCCAGGGAGAAAGAGCTCTGAAGGAGGAGGGAGATGAATAGCCAGGGAGAGGAGAGAAGAAGAAGAAGAGGGGATGCCCTTTTTCTTAAGCAGCTCAAGGAGGAAGGATCTTCCCACAGCATGGCTTAAAGACTTTGTCACTGCCCCGATTCAAGGTCACGGTGAGAGGAGCTCCTCACGACACGCACCACAAAACAGCACTTGACAAGATTCCCCCTAAGTAATTGATTCCAATTACACTTTCCGATATGGAGGCCCACCACCAAAGGGGGTTCTGGGTAGAGGCCAGGGCCCTTCGGAACTGTCCTATCACGACGTTGATGGTTCCCTAGGAGGCGGGCCTCCCTCTGTTGGCCTGACGATGCTCCCTCCCCCGGGACTAATCCCGTTTTGCCATGTCAACCAAATTCCTGGGACATCCCCTAAGACCTGTCATATCCCAATATCCTAATCGGGACAGGACAGGGTCAATGGGGGCTTCTCCTTATCACGTGGCCTCCAAAGGTCACATGACGCACCATGATCGCCATGGAGACGGTAATAGGTTTTATGATGATGCACCAGGGTGTGATGGTAAATGGCATCAAATCAGATTCCGTTTTTTGTTTTTGTTAAACAGGCACTTAGTCTGTTACTATGTTTGTTGTTGTTGCTGTCATTAGCATTTCATTTATTCATCATGGCAAGCTAAATAAATAGTGTGATTTGATGCCTGAGTTGAATTGAATCTCAATATTTTAAAGAGCTTATGCAGCATTATGCCCATTTTAGACAGACTGTTAAATACAACAGGATGTGATTGCTCGGTCTCTGATACAGATCATATGGTCCTCCTCATAGGCATAAGTACACTGTCATCCTATGAAGCAAGCACAGGACGAGCTGCTATCTGACATCCGACATCCGGCAGATTCCAGACCATCCATATCCATTGAGGGCATGGTCCGCTACCTCTGTACTCTGAGGAAGCAAGCAATCAGCCCCTCCTGAGATGGTGTGATAGAGATAGAGGGGTCCATTAACCACATGTATAAGTAATAACACCCACCGCTGGCCATTGTGATAATGGTGGGAGACATTCTTCAGGGATGTACTACTGTCAAATGAATGAGGAGGATAGAGCAGGACAGAGCCGCTATGGCCACTCAGTTTCCCCGATGCTGCCATGTTAGTGATGTGTTCTTTGGCAGCCCAGTAGTGTAGCAAGCAGAGGCTTTAGTTGTGCTCCATCAGGATGCCCTGGGGGGCTCCATGTACCTGAATGCGGGCAACTGCAAATGGGAATTGACATTACATTCTGCCTTTATGGACAAGGGCCCCGGCCCGTACTGCTCACCACATACATCCATTCTAAAGAGAGAGAGAAGGTAGAATTGGAGAAAAGGAGAGATGGATGGCATTGTGAGAGCAAAAAGTAGGAATGGGAAGCTGTGGGAATAGGTCAAGAGAGCAAAAGGGAGAGCAGGTCAAAAGAAGACAGGGGTGAGGAGAGAGATGGATAGACAGGAGATGGAGGGAAGGAGGAGGCAGGATATGAGGATAAAGGAGGGCAGCAAAGGAGAGCTTGTGGGAGAATAGGAGGATGACGTGAGAGGACTGTATGGATCGATTATGAGATCTAAAGCGAGAAAAAGAGAACTGGATATAAATGGATAGAGTGAAAGAGAAGAGGGTGAAAGGTGATGGAAAGCGAGAGATACCGATGGAGAGCTGAAGACCGAAAGAGAAAGACCGAGCGACCGCGAGAGAATGAAAGTGAGAGCGAGGGAGAGCAGAAGATGTGCCAGAGGGGGAGGGGGAGGGGCAGGGAAGCTCACAGCCCAGCCAGCCAGACTGTGCTGCTCTGCAGGGGAATCTTACCCTGGCAACACAATAGAGGGCAGCACTTGAAAGAGTGTGCCAGCGGGGGAGAGGTGCAGAGGGACCGGTGAACAGATGGAGCTGACTGAGAGACAAGCTGATCAGCTGACCGACTTCTGCCAGTGTGTGTGTGTGTGTGTGTGTGTGTGTACCATTATATAGGACTGCCAGGTCCTATTGTCAGGGTAGTTTTGTATGTAGCGATTTTCGGTTTTTGTTGACAGTCTGCTGCATATGTCCATGACTCTACCACGTCCCCGCGACAGAGTTTTGTCACATGTTGTCATTGTCAGTTTTTAGCTTTTTAGGTCAGCACACACACAGATCATGTTTTCTATAAACAGTGCAGAATAAACAGTATGGTGGTTGAACAGTGTCAGTAAGTTCTAGCGTCTAATTTAATCAGTGCACTGATTTGAATGTATATGCCTGAACAGAGAAATTGGGTACTGATGAAAGAATCATCCCCATGTGGGTGGAATGTATTTCATACTGTGTGTAAAAATATGAATATAATATATATTATGGATATCATACTATATATGATGGATAATAATATTGGCATCATATTTAAAGTTAATTTGATCTGTATTGAGGGGTTTAGCTCAGTAAACCTGGATTTAACTTCACAGTTTGGTAGCTAATGACTGCATTAGTCATTTTACATCTTTTATTCTCTCTGCCTCTCAGCTTGGCATTGAATTTCATGGTTTTGAGTCATCCTCTCTACACAGAGAACAGTGATCGTCCCTAGTGGGTGTCCTAGAGAACATCCACTTATCTGGTCATCAAATCTCCATCAGGCAGCACTCACTGTATGGTGGATAATACAGTCATCTTTCTGCCACACAATACTTTAGATACCCATTTATTTATGTTGGTTTACCTAAATACACATTCCCCTTTGCATATACAATTGAACAGAATAGTACATCTGTCATGTAAAATAATTTGCCACTCTCTAGGTTAGAGTCCATTTTGCTAGTGTTGGGATCTGGTTTGCTGTTTGGTCCAGATCCCACTGGCAAAGCTACTTACAGTAAAGCTTGTTTCCAGAATAATCTCAAAATAAGACCCTTTCCACTGTACATTAGAGCTGAAATGGCCTGACTACTTTAGCTCTGTGGCTGGCTAACACCATGGTGTGCTTCCGTTTCACCCCTTACCCTTTACTTCGCTCAATGGCTTTTGTTGGCGTGACGCTTCACACCAATTTAGAGGTGCTGTTGATTATCATACAGCAAGAGTGTAGTAGTAGTGTTCTTTAACAATATGCAGCATTACAATTACTTTGCAAGTTGTACAGAGATGTCAACCAGGTAGCCTAATGACTAGATCGTTGGGCCGGTAACCGAAAGGCCGCTGGTTTGAATATCTGAGCCGACAGATGAAAAAATATGTTGATGTGCCCTTAAAGCACTTAACATTAATTTGCTCCAGGAGCGCCGTACTACTATGGCTAACCCTGTAAAACAACTCATTTCACTACATCTAACTGGTGTATGTGACAGTAAAACATATATCTATAGATATATTTCTATATTTTTTTGTTGTTGAAAATGTTATTCATTGTCCAGTAATACAGTGGCTTGCAACCTGGAAATAAAATGGCTTTTTGGGGGGTTTGTATAATTTCATTTACACAACATCCCTACCACTTTGAAGATGCAAAATATATTTTTTTGTGAAACAAACAAGAAATAAGACAAAAAACAGAACTTGAGCGTGCATAACTATTCATCCCCCCCCCCAAAGTCAATACTTTGTAGAGCCACCTTTTGCAGCAATTACAGCTGCAAGTCTCTTGGGGTATGTCTCTATAAGCTTGGCACATCTAGCCACTGGGATTTTTGCCTAATTCTTCAAGGCAAAACTGCTCCAGCTCCTTCAAGTTGGATGGGTTCCGCTGGTGTACAGCAATCTTTAAGTCATACCAGATTCTCAATTGGATTGAGGTCTGGGCTTTGACTAGGCCATTCCAAGACATTTAAATGTTTCCCCTTAAACCACTCGAGTGTTGCTTTAGCAGTATGCTTAGGGTCATTGTCCTGCTGGAAGGTGAACCTCCGTCCCAGTCTCAAATCTCTGGAAGACTGAAACAGGTTTCCCTCAAGAATTTCCCTGTATTTAGTGCCATCCATCATTCCTTCAATTCTGACCAGTTTCCCAGTTCCTGCCGATGGAAAAACATCCCCACAGCATGATGCTGCCACCACCATGCTTGGGATGGTGTTCTCGGGTGATTAGAGGTGTTGGGTTTGTGCCAGACATAGCGTTTTCCTTGATGGCCAAAAAGCTCAATTTTAGTCTCATCTGACCAGAGTACCTTCTTCCATATGTTTGGGGAGTCTCCCACATGACTTTTGGCGAACACCAAACGTGTTTGCTTATTATTTTCTTTAAGCAATGGCTTTTTTTATGATCACTCTTCCGTAAAGCCCAGCTCTGTGGAGTGTACTGCTTAAAATTGTCCTATGGACAGATACTCCAATCTCCGCTGTGGAGCTTTGCAGCTCCTTCAGGGTTATCTTTGGTTTCTTTGTTGCCTCTCTGATTAATGCCCTCCTTGCCTGGTCTGTGAGTTTTGGTGGGCGGCCCTCTCTTGGCAGGTTTGTTGTGGTGCCATATTCTTTCCATTTTTTAATAATGGATTTAACGGTGCTCCGTGGGATGTTCAAAGTTTCAGATTTGTTTAAATAACCCAACCCTGAACTGTACTGAGTGGCGCAGTGGTCTAAGGCACTGCATCGCAGTGCTAACTGTGCCACTAGAGATCCTGGTTCGAATCCAGGCTCTGTCGCAGCCGGCCGCGACCGGGAGACTCATGGGCGGCGCACAATTGGCCCAGCGTTGTCCAGGGTAGGGGAGGGAATGGCCGGCAGGGATGTAGCTCAGTTGATAGAGCATGGCGTTTGCAACGCCAGGGTTGTGGGTTCGATTCCCACGGGGGGCCATTATAAAAAAAATATGTATTCACTAACTGTAAGTCGCTCTGGATAAGAGCGTCTGCTAAAATGACTAAAATGTAAATGTAAAATATACTTCTCCACAACTTTGTCCCTGACCTGTTTGGAGAGCTCCTTTGTCTTCATGGTGCCGCTTGCTTGGTGGTGCCCCTTGCTTAGTGGTGTTGCAGACTCTGGGGCCTTTCAGAACAGGTGTATATATACTGAGATCATGTGACAGATCATGTGACACTTAGATTACACACAGGTGGACTTTATTTAACTAATTATGTGACTTCTGAAGGTAATTGGTTGCACCAGATCTTATCTAGGGGCTTCATAGCAAAGGGGGTGAATACATATGCACTCACCACTTTTTAGTTATTTATTTTTTAGACATTTTTGAAACAAGTTATTTTTTTCATTTCATTTCACCAATTTGGACTATTTTGTGTATGTCCATTACATGAAATCCAAATAAAAATCCATTTAAATTACAGATTGTAATGCAACAAAATAGGAAAAATGCCAAGGGGGATGAATACTTTTGCAAGGCACTGTAACTCCTTATTTCAGACATCTTTGTTGATTTGTGTAGAGTAGACCTTTAAAGGTGGTTAGCTTTGAAACGATGGTCATAGATGTTGTAAACATTGACATTGACCTTCCTGGAACGATGGATGAAATATTATCTGAGGCTCAGAATCATGTTATTGGTCTTGTTCGAATGCTATCACTGTTCTTGACTCAAATTGATATCCTTTTCTTTATCATTATTAGAATTTAAATGGTGGTACAGTCTGGTGTTCCGTGTAGTTCAGTTGGTAGAGCATGGCGCTTGCAAGCCAGGGTTGTGGGTTTGATTCCCACGGGGGGCCAGTATGAAAAAATTTATGCACTCACTAACTGTAAGTCGCTCTGGATAAGAGCGTCTGCTAAATGACTAAAATGTAAAATGTAATGGGTGTTGTTGACAAAATTGTGCGTTAAAATGAAATGTTTTCCCCCTCATCCTCCTTCCTCTGCTTCTTCCTCCTCTAACCGCTTCAGACGTTGCGAAAGAAGGGCTTTAACGGTTGCAACAGCCCCGAGCCGGACTGCGATGACTCCATCGACCAAAGCCCGCTAAACGACGACAAGTACCGCAAGAACGAGGACCTGGATATCCTGTTCAAGCGCTATGGCGTGAGTACCATCGTCCTCTCGTCACGTTCTCTAACCTACCTCTCTCTCCTCTCTCTCTCTCCGTTGTGGGAACGAACGGACCAAGGCTCTGAACAAGAAAGAGCATCGGGACTCAGAGAGCCCAGACCCCGAGGAGCCCTTCTCCCTCACCCCCCACACTGAGGAGAAATACAAAAAAATTGACGAGGAGTTTGATAAAATGATGCAGAGCTATAGGCTGTCAGTGAGTACCGTGAGCTGTACCGTAACTGCTGTGTTACTGGACCGGACTGGATTTTACCCAGAGCCGGTTGCAGACAGCAACCCAAATACTCACAGAGCACCCCACCACCCCCCACTCCCCTCCATCTCTCACCCACCTCTTTACCCACAATCCCCCTCTGATCGTGTGTGCCCGGGCAAGGAGGTCGGGGGGAGGAGCTCAACAGTCTGATTGGAGAGTGGTCACAACCAACCATTTAGGAAGTCATCGTAAAGGCTTCATAAACATGACATAACATGTCTCAGGAATCAGTCATAAGCTATTGACAGATTTCATAAAGACTACATAAAAGTGGCATATGATGATGCCATGGCAAACGGGGCATAGCACATTCAAAGCAATACTTCTCATTATGCATTGTCACCACTTCGTTAGAGTGAGAAAATTTTGCACAAATTAATGCTTTTAAAGGGCGTTAGTTTTACAGATAAAGTGTGACCATCTAGGTTCGGATAGGTCGTTCCTCATTTTCCAGGGTGTTTGTCAGACACTCTCCAGGGCTGCCTTATAATTGGCATGCTGCCACAGTTTATCGCCCCTTTATTCCTCTCTCTGGTGCCAATTCTTTAATGATTCATTATTTTCCATCCAGGTCTCAATAATGCCGTTAACGTCAGTTTAATGAGGAGCACTCAATTTACAACCAGGCTTCCTGTCTGATCTGGCCTCCCTATTGGTCACGATGGATGGGACTTTGTCTATCGAGTTCCCGTCGGGCCAATGTGAAGAACTTTACTGCTCACAGGAGGAGCTGAACTGGAGATATACACACCTATCCCTGACATAAGTCCTGGTTTCTTAGAATGTATTATGCAACATGTACTACAATGTATTGCATAATCTGTATTATGCAGGATATTGTCACTAAGACAAAAAATCCAATGGTGATGGAAAGGTTTTGTTATCCAAAACTGATAATATTATCACACACCCAACCACTCGCTTACATTACAGCAGCGGTTCAGCAAAAAAGTTGAATGTCTCTCTATCGAATCAATTCAGTGAATACCGCTTATCCTGCATTTAACCTAAGCCGTATCTCCAACACTTTGGTGTTTGTGGTGAGCTAAAATGGCTCCTAAAAGCATTTCTGAGTAGAAAGAAGAAGAATAGAAATCAATCTGCCACCCCTTGGAGAGTGTAGCTCCCGCCCCAGTCGATTGGAAGCAAGCGTGCACTGGCTTTGGCCCCCCATCCCCCGTCTTGCCCGGCACACCTTTCACAGGGCCTACTGTAGCAAACGGAAGCATACAGCACCAATCTCCCCAACAGCATCATAATCCACCAACATGACAGCTAGGGGGCTGGGATATACACGCGTAATCCCACTCGTACTGCAATCCCCGGAGGCGAGTAGAAAGCACTAGGGGAGCATGGGGAGGACTAGCTAGGCTAAGCAGTCTATAGGCATGTACAGGATTATAAGGCAAGACTGGAACTTGGCCATTGGTGACACCGCGGATTTAGCTGCTCAGATTTAAGTGATGTTCCTTGATAGTGTTTTCAATGTTATGTGTTTCCTGTTGTGTTTGTTTGAAATAGGCTGTGACTGTCAGACATTTTTTACTAAAAAGAGAGACAAATTTGACCTATTTCTCTGTTTATTGAAATTCTTAAAAATCTTCAAAGCACTCGTTTTCCCTCCTGTATTCCAACAATACTAAGAGAAAAGCTGAGCATTATTTTAGTAAAACAATTCAATCTAATTGTATTATACAGAGTATTCACTGGTGAGATCAACATTGTAGTCAAATGTCAAGGACCTTTAAAGGTCAACCGAACGCTGTTTGGAAGTTGTTTTTGTGGTTTTAATCCATCACTGCTAAACAAATAGGATGAGACGTTCCCTAAAGTTGAAAGGGAAACTTTCAAAGGCTTCTAGGACAAGAGGGAGGGAGGGAAAGTAGAGCATGAGTTTAATTAATTCTGATACCCTCACATCTAGGAAATACACCAATGTAGAGCTCCGCTGAGAAAAATAGGTTCGTTTTTTGTTATGCTGTTGTAGAAGACCTTGAGCTGCCTTCAACGAACCCACTTAGCCCGAGGAAAAGCTGAAAGACTATTATTTATCCAATATGATTCATTTTAGGGCCTTTGTAATGCCATGTACTTGACACAATGAATGAGTCAGTCTACTCTAGTATTAAGATTATGCACACTGACAGTTATCTGACCTAACATAGCAATACCACTGCATAACTTGTTCTCCAAGAGACATCTGTCCAAACGGCACACCACAGCACAGTTTAGTGTACATCAGTGTAGTATTAAACAGTGTTTGAATGAGTATACGATAAGTGTGTGTAGGAAGTGCCGTCCCAGTGCTGTATGCTCCACGTTTCCACACCTCTGCCCCCTCACACTAACCCAACCTCCATCCATCCCTCCACCCATCCATCCCTCCCTCCTCTCTGCCTGGCCAGTGTGCAGTGCTGCAGTGCTGAAACCTGCTGCCTTATATTGTAGACTACCTCCCCAGACGCCAGACCTGCCCACCAGCATGCCCAGTAGGCTCACCTGTTTGGTCTTTCTATGTCTTTCTCTGTCTCTCTCTTTATCTCTCTCTCTCTCGCTTTCTCTCTGTGTGTCTCTCTCTTCTCGTTCTCTCCCGTCCCCTCCCCTCTCTCTCTCTCTCTCTCTCTTTCTTTCTCTGCCTCTCTCTATCTCCGTTTCTGGTGATCTGGGATTTGAGACATCTCTATTACTGCGGAGTCCAAGGCAGATTGGTTTTGTCTCCATAGTCCCCTGAACATTCTTGCCATATACAGCATATTGAGTGAAGTTGTGTACGTGACATGACACCCTCGCAGGTCTTATGGGTCAGAGGAGCTACAGCACTAGTGAAAGCCCGGATGCCTATCTGTCTTTACATTACCTAGCACTGTTGTTGTTCGTCACTAGAACAAGATATTGCAGACACAGACTAATACTCAGTCTACTGAAATACTAATAAAGAAAGGAAAAGGTTACACTCAGTCTCGCCACATTGACAAATGGTGTGTCACAAGAATGACAGGACTATTATCAGATAATGAGAGATATACTACAAAACACATGTCTCCCCTGCTCCCATCTCTTCTACTGTATAACATCACACATACATCCCAGATGGAAAGTTGTGGAATACACTGTAGGCTAACGGGAAGGAAGGTCGATATGATGGACAGAGTAGAGCATCTTCTTCCTCTCTTTAAACTGGGTCCCACTCAGCACATGCAGTACCAGGCCACGCTTGGCCCATATTCTATAAATAGAGGCCCTGCCTGCTTTCTGCCATGATGAGGAACAGGGTGAAATGGGTTACAGGCAGAAGAGGGGACAACCCTGGTCTGGGTCCTGTCTCTGACTAGGACCTGGTGTTGGGCTGGGTCACACGGCTAGTATTATTTAGCTGACTCAGGACCTGTTCAAAGCTATTTGCTAACTACACTTCTTATACTTTGAGAAAGCACTCCTTGATACTTTAGAGAACGTTTTAGTGACTAGTTATATACATTTTTAAGGGTGAACGTTTACTTCCAGGTAAAAGTAAGCAAATTAGCAGTCAACTTCTCAGGTAGAGGCTACATATCAGATACTCAAAGTTCCATGCTCTGTGCAAAAATAAAAAAATAAACTGACAAAACATCTGACTTTTCTCTGATAGTTTCTCTTCAATTTTCCCTGCAATTAAAGATGCTATATGGGGTAATGAAATGTATAATGTGATGTACAGTATGACATGTCACCAATAACCAATGCAATAACAATCCCATGTAGCTTCTATGATGTACACATAACCTTGCATGTGATCTGAAAGCAAACACTTTTTCAGCTTCTTGTTTCCACAAGTCACTTGCATGCTAATGAATCCTGTGCGTTAGTATGTGTGTGTGCTTGTGCGTGCACATGCTTCTGAGAGTGTGTCTTAGTGTCTGTACCATTATACATGTGCCCATCGTGCGTGTACATTTCTAAGCCCCTCCTCTTCCTGTCTCCTCCAGTCAGCCGTCCCACAGCCCAACTTCTCCATGCCCGTCACGGTGCCGGTGTCCAATCAGAACTCTCTCCAGTTCAGTAACTCTGGCGGCCTGGTCACCACCTCCTTCGTCACCTCCACCCTCACAGACCCCCGCCTGCTGTCACCACAGCAACCATCTCTCCAGAGGACCGCTGGGTCTCCAGGGTTACCACAGCGACCGGCCAGCGCAGGTAAGGAACAGAGTGGACAGTGGTTAATGGTTGATGTCAGCACAAGTTCAAGTTTTATTTGTCACATGCACAAGTACAGTGAAATGCTTAACTTGCAAGCCCTACCCAACAGTGCAGTAATATTGAAAAAATGCATTATCAAAATAGTATAACTAATAATAAAAAATACAAAAAATACAAAACACGAGAAATAAGAGAGGAAGCTATATACAGGGTCAGTGCCAGTACCACATTTACAATGTGCAGGGATACTGGAGTATTTGAGATGTACTGTACATGTAGGCAGGGATTAGGAGAAAGTGACTGGTAGCAGGATACATAATAATAATAATAATAATAATAATAATAGTAAACAGTATGGCAGCTGTGTGTGTGTGTGTGTGTGTGTGTGTGTGTGTGTGTGTGTGTGTGTGTGTGTGTGTGCATGAGTGTCAATGTAGGCGTGATAGGCGGATTATACACAACATTAGGAACACCTGCTCTTTCCATGACAGACTGACCAGGTGAAGGCTATGATCCCTTATTGATGTCACTTGTTAAATCCACTTCAATCAGTGTAGATGAAGGGGAGGAGACAGGTTAAAGAAGGATTTTTAAGCCTTGAGACAGTGTATGTGTGCCATTCAGAGGGTGAAAGGGCAAGACAAAATATTTAAGTGCCTTTGAACAGGGTATGGTAGTAGGTGCCAGGCGCACCGGTTTGTCTCAAGAACGGCAACGCTGCTGGGTTTTTCACGCGCAACAGTTTCCCGTGTGTATCAAGAATGGTCCACCACCCAAAGGACATCCAGCCAACTTAACACAACTGTGGGAAGCATTGGAGTCAACATGGGCCAGCATCCCTGTGGAATGCTTTCGGCACCTTGTAGAGTCCATGCCCCGACGAGTTGAAGCTGTTCTGAGGGCAAAAGGGGGTGTGCAACTCAATATTAGGAAGGTGTTCCTAGGGTTTGGTATACTCTGTGTATATGTAAACAGGGCTGAAAAGTGACTGTTAGTAGGAATATATAAATACGTGGTATAATATAATAATGGAAATATATACATGTAAACAGGAGTAATAATGACTAGTAGCAGGTTAAATAGATTAATACTAATGGTAATGGCAATCAATAATCAATTAACAGCAGTGTAGTGGTAGTAATAGATCTAATCAATAATCATTTTAGCAGCAGCGTAGGTGTGAGGGAGAGCAGTAGTTGATAGCCATTTAACAGTCTTCTGGCCAGGGGATATAAGCTTTGAGGTAATTTTTCTGGCTTTTCTCAGACACCGCCTGGCATGTACTTCCTGGATGGCTAGGAGCTCACCCCCAATTATGCACTTGGCTGTCTGCACCACCCTCTGTAGGGCTTTCCTGTCGAGGGTGGTGCAGTTGCCATACCAGACGGTGATACAACCAGTCAGGATGCTCTCGATGGTGCAGCTGTAAAAGTTCCTAAGGATCTGAGGGGCTATGCCAAATTGTTTCAGCGTCCTGAGGGAGAAGCGGCACTGCCGTGCTTTCTTCACGACTGTGCTGGTGTGAGAGGACCACGTTAAGTCCTCAGTGATGTGGACACCGAGGAACTTGAAGCTCTTGACCCTCTCCACTGCGGCCCCGTCGATGTCGATGGGGGTGTGCACCCACCCTGGTTTCCTGTAGTCCACAATCAGCTCCTTGGTCTTGCTGACGCCGAGGAAGAGGTTGCTGTCTTGGCACCACACTGCCAGGTCTCTGACCTCCTCCCTGTTAGTGAACAGGCCTACCATCGTTGTGTCGTCAGCAAACTTGATGATGAAGTTAGTTGTGCGTGGCCACACAGTCGTGGGTGAACATGGAGTACAGGAGGGGGCTAAGCAAACACCCCTGGGGGGCCCCCTGTTAAGGGTCAGCATGGTGGAGGGATTGTTGCTTACTCTTACCACCTGGAGTCTGCCTGTCAGGAAGTCCAGGATCAAGTTGCAGAGGGAGGTGTTCAGTCCCTGGGTCCCGAGCTTGGTGACGAGCTCGGAGGGCACTATGGTGTTGAACGCTGAGCTGTAGTCGATTAAACAGCATCAATGTTATACAGTGTTATGGATTCAACATTATTCATGTTCTTCATGTTTTCTTAGCAATTCTTACCATTAAAATCAACTCGTATGTACAACTTGTCCTTTACAACATGGCCGCCGTCTTCTGTTCTTCCTTCCACAGGTGCTCTATTAGGAGGTGAACTGAACAACTCCAACGGAGGATGCCCGAGCCCAGTTCGTAAGTGACGTCTACTTCTGCTAAAATGCCTAGTTGTGTTTGAGTAGTTTTTACTTAGCAAATAAGATGATACCGTATACACAGTGAACTGCGTCTCTCTGTTGTAGCTGTGAAAATAGATTATTAGCTTGTTAGTTTTTACCCAACATGGCTTTCCTTGATGTGATGGGAGTTGTGGGTTATAGTAAAGCATAAAAGGTGTATGGATTACACTTTGGGACAGACTCCACTGTTTGATGACAGAGAAAAAGATGTCAGGATAGCTGGTGGATGGCAACAGCCACACACACTGACACTGGCACTTATGTACTCAAACACACACACATACACACACACCTGTTGGCCAGCGACAGCTGAGGGTCACAGGAAAGCCACTTGTAAATAGCCCAGGGGGTTGATGGGAAAGAGAACGAGAGAGAATGAAAGACTGAGGGAAAATGGGAGAAAGAGAGGTAGAGCGAGACATGAATGACATGAACACTCTGGCCTAACATCTCCACCGTCTCCTCACCCCCCTTTATCTGTCTCCCCTGAAACCGCTTTCTCCCTCTCGCTCTCTCTCTCTCTCTCTGTCCTTCTCTCCCTCTATCGCAGCTGTTCCCGCATGTCCCCCCCCCCCCCCCCCTTTCCACACACACACTCCAATCCCCCCTGGTTCAAACTGTACCTTGTCTTGGCAGAGCCATCTCCTCAGAGGTGACTTTGACACTGGCCAGAGCCTCACTTCTAATCTAATTCCTCTCAGCATACAGTCATAGGTAGATGACAATATTATCAGATATTGTGCTACAACATCTTCCCCAAAGCTGAATGGCTGTATTATTGTATTGATAAGAATATGCTTTTCTATTTGTGACTAAGGCACTAAGCACCAAATCTTAGCTTATATTTTGTGAACATAGGTTCGGCTTTCACATGGATATCAATGAAAGACTCGTACGACAATGAGTTACACACTCATATCTCAAGTTTCAGAATCAGACCCAAGTCACAAAGTCATGGAACAGGGAACACAGTAATCACAATGCCTTTCTCTCTCTAAAGTGGGGTTGTCTCAGTAACCCTCCAGTGCAGTAAACAGAGCGGTGGTCCCAAGACACAGCTCAAGTGACTCACCCTGCTAGCCCGCTGTCTCTCTCTCTCTTCCCCCTCCTCCCTCGTTCTCTCCCTCCACATCCCGTCCTCCTCCCTCTCGCTCTGTCGTTCTCAGCTGTTGAACACAGGCCCAGGCTCTGGGCTCAGGGAATGTCACCATTGACGTCACCCGGCATTCCTGAGATTCCCACGCCCGACACTGGGTAATAGGAGTAGAGCCTGGGAGAGAGAGCACACACACACAAATAGGCTGGCACACACACACACACACACACACACACAGAGGTACATACACACACACAGGTATACACTAAAACACATATGTTGATACATACATACAACACATAAATACTTAGAAACATACATGAGCATGTTCTTACACAAACACATGCATGGATAAACATTCACATAGACACATAATGAGTGTGAATTCTTACACACTAGAGCCCTGTTGTTCAAAGAGCCCAGGGCAAGGGGCCAACAACAGACAAACACACGTTCTTTCTCCTCCTCCTTCTCCCTCTGTTGCTGGGGTAGATGAGTGAGTGTCCAGTTTCTTAGAGGAAGGATTGAGTGAGTGTCTGTGTCTGCTAGGTCGGGTACAACACAAAAAGCCACCATCGCCCTGTTCCACTTTACCCTTGGTTGCGGCTCACACACTATTCCCATCCCAAAACACCTCAATACAAAGTAACCTTCACTGGCTGCCCAGAGTTCTCTATCCAGTTGTGAATGGCGTGAGCGAACTTATGATAACTGTTATGCATTGGGTTTATGTTTGATGGAAGTAGTGTGTTATTGGTACTGCTGACACAAATGAGTCTGGAACAAACAACATCATTCTGTCCTTGTCATCCGTCAGTGTGTACGTTTGTGTGTGTGTGTGTGTGTGTGTGTGGTTTGTACGTGTGTGTCTGAACTGAAGTATGTGTGAGTGAGATGAAACGATGTCACATGCTGGTAGCATCTGGGACACGTCATGGAGCAACTTTTATCTGCTGTCGCAGAACACTGCCCAGCTCTAGGGAGTGTGTGTGCATGCGTAGTTGTGTGACTGACAGTGTGTCTGCCCACAGTATGTGTGCGTGTCACTTTGTGTATCTCTCTCTCGCTCTCTCTCTCTCGTCTCGCTCTTTCTTGCTCTCTCTCTCTCTCTCTTGCTCTCTCTCTCTCTGACTCTCTCTCTCTCGCTCTCACTCGCTCTCTCTCTCGCTCTCTCTCCTCTCTCTCTCGTCTCTCTCTCTCTCTCTCTCTCTCCTTGCTCTCTCTTGCTCTCTCCTCTCTCATCTCTCTCTCTCTCTCTCTCTCTCTCTTCTCTCTCTCTCTCTCTCTCTCTCTCTCTCTGCTCTCCTTCTCTCTCTGTCTCTCTCGCTCTCGCTCTCTCTCTCTCTCTCTCGCTCTCTCTCGCTCTCTGTATGTGTCTACTGTCTGTGTTTGCCTGGTTGTGTGCCTGACAGTGCTGGGAAAGTCCCCCGCTCCCCCATCCACACAGTGAGCCTGTCTTTCTTTGAGTCAACTGCTCCTTTTAACCCAGTAAGGGGAAGTCAGCCTGACGGTCTGTCCCATGGCAAGAAGGAATGCTGTTGTCTGAGTAGCTTGATGCTGTCCCAGATTAACACTGCTCACCATTGAGCCGTTCGATGGAAAAAGATGGACCTTCTGAGATAAACATTTGAAACCAAAACGACACGTACGCTGTTTGATTTGTAAACAATTAAAATATGAGAGGTATGTATTTATTATTGTGTCTTATGACTCAACTCAACACATTTTAGGAGGGATGTCTACAGTAATAACAACGTTTTGTTCCTCTTAGGGGTGTGTCACATGACGTGACCTGAAGTGGACTGTCTGAGTGTTGACATAGGGATGACGTAGGGTTGACATAGGAGTGACATTACTCCTGTAGTGAAAAGATATGAGGTTTTGTCAATAGTGTTAGTGTAATGTGTGAAAGGGTCAAACGAGTAATGTTTACAGATTCATACTATTATTCACAGTGTTACATTTGTCCTACAGTAAGGGAGAGGCATACACACACCACACAACCACTCCATCCATTCCTTAACACAATATTAATATCTCCTCTCCGTCTCCCTCTCAACCAGCGAACGGCTACATCAGTGCCAGGGCCTCCCCCGGCCTCCTCTCCGTCTCCAACGGCAACAGCCTGGGGAAAGTAGTCCCGGCCAAGTCTCCACCTCCGCCCAGCCCTCAGATGGTGAACAGCCGCAAGCCTGATCTCCGGGTCATCACCTCCCAGAGTGGCAAGAACCTGATGCAGCTGGTGAGCCACAGAGAGATCCACTATGGGAGCCCTACTGGCCCAAACTGAGTCTGTTGTTTTCTCACGTTGATAAATACTTTATTGGTGTCCCGCCAGTCACAAAACAATGGGGTGCTGAATCTTTATGAATCTCTGTTCCTTCTGAGATAAACATTTAATACCAAAACGAAGTGAACGCTGTTTGATTTGTAAACGGTTGAAATATGAGAGGTATGTATTTATTATTGTGTCTTATGACTCAACTCAACCCATTTTAGGAGGTTGTCTAGAGTAATAACAACATTTTGTTCCTCAGAGTGGTGTCCCTCGGAAGTTCACATATTTTTCTACAAAACGGATGCTGAGTCATTGTTATTAGTTTATAAAGTAATTAATAGGACAGCAATTATAGTAAGATTAAATTAAAACGTTGATTTTGGCACCACTCAAACTTGAGTGTGGCTTTAGACTGTGCTAAGGAAGGATCACGTTATAATTACCATTCTAAATGTGATATTTTCGTGAGTGCATGATAAAGTAGCCCCCCAGACGCTGATCTGAGTTCAGTTTTGCATTTCCCCTTAATGAGCCCAATGGTTAAGGTTAGGATAGGGGGCGGATCCTAGATCAGCGGGTTAGTACAAAGCTGTAACCCGTGTTCTCTATCCTACTGCCCCCTGCAGACCGATGAGGAGCTGGAGTTGGTGAGTGAGGTGAATAGAAACTCCTCCTAGACTTGACTGTGGTTGCTGTGTCAACACTGTGGTCTCACAGGCATGAGTGTCCTACTGATATACTGTCATACTGGTATATTAGTAGATCATTAGTATACAGTACTTACAGTGCAGTATCAGTCGAATAGTAGCACAGTACAATGTATGTTTTAGCATAGTGTGTAGCCATTTATACATACTATGTGTGGTAAATCCAAAATGGACTAAAAGCTCTCTCAGTGAATGCATTGTATGTATCTTGGCATGTGCATGGGTCAACTCCATGTGTGTATAATCCATGTCGGGTAGAGCAGGAGGAGGTCATAGTGTATAGGCTACAGTACTCTCTGGAGTGTGTGTGTCCATTGACTAGGACAAACGGTTACAAGGTGACACCTATGGCACAATGACCTCCACCCCTGGAGCGTCTGTGCCCCGACTCACACACGTATCACCACACACCAACACACACACACACTTATCACCACACACCAACACACACACACACACAAACACAATCCCTTTATTGCTCTCTCTGGTTGTTCTGCCCGATGCATGCCTCTCATTCAATCCGCATGACTCTCCACTGAGTGGAACACTTCCTAACACCTCCACCAACTATACTTTCATGTGGCTGTGGTGATGGTGTTGCCTTGCCAACGCTATTGAGATGGATTCCTTGAATGTTGATGTTTCCGTGTCATATAAAAGTCAATAACCATACAGGTCAGGATGTTCCACCTTTGTTTGCATTTGATTCTGTTCGTGAATGTCATGGTACTGCGTGGGCACAAACATTATGGGGTGAAATAAGTCTTTACTTCCTGCGTCCTGATGTTCAAGCATCTTTCCTGTGTCCTCTGTCTTCCCAGAATGCTCAGCGGTTAGGCGGTTCTCAAGGGAACCTGTCCACGCCAGTGGTTTCCGTGGCGACGCCCAGTCTCCTAGCCCCCTTCTCCGCCATGCAGACGGCCTACAACACTGGTGAGTAAAGGAGGACAAGGGTACTCGCTGCTCACGGGCAAAGCTTGCAGAATATGGGAATTGGGCACACACTGTATGTCTGTAGTGTGTCTTAAAGCAAGTGTATTAGGACCAGTGGATGACAGAAACACAAGGGTAAATACTTTTGATTAGTTTATTCAGTTATTCTCTTTTTGTCAGTGTGCTCTGTAATTCCCCAAATTGGCAAAGGCAGAAAGGAGCACAATTTACCACTGTAAGTGAATCCTATGCATATTCACTTTATAGATGGTGAGTAGGGCTAGAGGGAGCTATAGCGAAAGAAAAGAGAGAAGAAGAGCGAAGAGAGAACAGAGAGAGAAGAGATAAAAAAACTCACCTATCTCCCCTCCCTCCTCCCTCCATCTCAGAGTACCAGCTGACAAGTGCAGATCTCACAGCGCTCCAGACATTCACGCCATCAGGGCTGCTGCCTAGCAACATGTCCACCTGGCAACAGCAACCAGCAGTATCCCAGCAGCAACAGCAGCAACAACAACAACAACAGCAACAACAACAACAACAACAACAACAGATCAGCTTGGCGTCACTCAGTAACTTGGTGTAAGTACACTTCCCCAGTCACCCTATTGTATAAGTGTAGCTAGCTGCACCCTAAACCAGTGGTATTCAAAGTCGGGGTCGCGACCCCTAATGGGCTCACAGGGGAACTGCAGTGGGTTCGCCCCCCAAAAATAATAATAATTATGAGTACAGATTTATTGTATGGAACAATATACAAAAACAATTATTGAGTAAATGTATTAAATGCTTTCATTTTGATAAGAGATGAAAATGCAATTCATTGAAGGTTGTGGCATTAGATTTTTTTTCTGGGGTCCCCGGAAATTTTTGCTGAAAAAATCGTGTCCCCGCTGAAAAAGTTTGGATACCACTGCCCTAAACCAATATCTGCGTTGCTCTCAATTCATGAGATTCAGTTAAAAGGAAGTTAACCCAAAACTTTCCCCAAACTATGTGACCAATCATCTAGTAGTAACTCCTCACCCATGCCATACAGACTACCCCTCTGTACTTACCTGTTCTATAGGCCATAGCCCTTAAACACACATGCACTTACTGTATGCACACAATTTCATCAGCAAGTCTGACTCACTAAAGCCGTGCCTCATTGGCATTTGACATGAAATGAAGCATCTTTCCTCGAGAGCAGCGAAGCATGGTTGCTAGCTACAATAAAGGCCCAAACTGTGAACACCTCAGACCGTCACTGGCATCCACTAGCTATAGTATAGTATGCATCAGAGGAGGCTGGTGGGAGTAGCTATAGGAGGATGGGCTCATTGTAATGGCTGGAATGGAATATATGGAACGGTATCAAACATATGGAAACCACATGTTTGACTCAGTTCCATTGATTCCATTCTAGCCATTACGATGAGCCCGTCCTCCTATAGCTCCTCCCACCAGCCTCCTCTGGTATGCATGTACCTCCACCTTGAGTTTGAGTATGTCTGAGAGGCTGACCTAAATAACTCCCTCTCCATTAACATCTCCCCACGTGGATCTGAGAGCGCTTTAGGTTTAGGTGTGCGTTGACCACCTGCTGTAGGCTAATGCTAGCTAGCGATCCTCATTAGCCATCAGCTTTGTCTCGTTACTAGCATTGTTAGAGCTAAATGCAGGTTTCTGTGATTGCGGCGGCTAGGCTAGCTGTGGGATAGCTGTATGTAACCGCCTGTTTGTTCTCCCCCTCTTGTCCACAGCATGTGGGGTGCAGAGAAACAGAATGGGGAGATGGCTAACTGCATCTCCAATTTCGCTGCTAACCTGAGGTGAACGAATTAGCATCTAGCTCTACATGTGTGGTTATCGTCATGCTTTTACTGTTGTCGTATCAAATTAAGTTTGTGCGGCTCTCAGGTTGGGCTCAATTCAAAATAACATAATGAAGGTATAACAGTTCAATTAGATTTCATGTAATTTACACTGGAATTGTTCTTGACCAACATTTGTTTCTTGCTTATTTATTTGGTCTTTGATGTGGTGGAAATTGGATGTAGAAGTTGTGTCTTTCCTCCTCCTTTTATATCTTGTTTCTGAGGCTTTGAGTCTTGTGACCGAAGAGAGAAATATACAGGAATATGGCAGCCGCCCCGCGCTGTGTGTGTCAGTCTCACAGGACAGCACTGACTCACACACACACACACACACACACACACACACACACACACACACACACACAAACACACACCAAGAATAAGTAATGTAGTCCTCCTTTTTCGTCTTCACAGTCATAAACTCAGAGCAGATGGATGGCCTGACAGTAAGGTCAATAGTCAGATTTCACCCATCCATACTTCATAAAGATCAGTGAAACTGCTGCTTCCAAGTAAGGCACTTGAACAAACCGTTCTCATTTTACCCTGAAGAGCACATTCCTCCCACGATTTGTTCTCTCACACAAGCGTTTGATTACATAGGCCATACGTACAGTCCCACTCTTTTGTTTTTTATTCCCTTGCACGGTAGTTCGCAGTGAGCAGACACTTCCAATCAAAGGTGATTGACAGTTTTTCGCCGCGAGCCTCGCGTTCCCTGTCAGCCCTGGTTACTCACCGTGGGAAGCGAGGGGGGAAATGATTTCTGCCGTTTTTTTTCTCCCCTTCCTTCTCTTGCACTGAGTGGCCAATCATTCCAGAGCCTCCTGTAAAGACTCACTGCAACTAGCATGCACCTGTTGACTAGCACACCAATCTAAATGTTAATGCTGTGTCAAGGGCGTCCCGCTAGCCTTCCCACGTTGACTTGTTTACTTGTTTTTTTGAATCATTTTCCACACGTCAATTCAGCCTTGCAGGATGTGTTGGTCTCTGTGTTTGAGGAACCCAGATGATGCATTCAGGCGAGAAAGGGTCTGAGTTGAGGAGTTTTAAGGGGTTTTGGAGAAATGGTTCCTGTTTAGGGATCATGTCTGTCTGTCAGTGTGTCCTTGCATTAAGGAACATGTCCTTTTGCATGGGAGAAATGGTGCACACACACACAACTCGCTACCTCAGTATGTTTTTACAGGTGGCAGTTGCTGCCATTACCTTGCTATCTGTCTATCACTCTTAACTTACTCTCTGTCTGTCTGTCTCTTCCTTTCAATCTCTCTCTCTCTCTCTGTCTCTCTCTCTCTCTGTCTGTCTGTCTGTCTGTCTGTCTGTCTGTCTGTCTCTCTCTCTCTCTCTGTCTCTCTCTCTGTCTGTCTCTCTCTCTCTCTGTCTCTCTCTCTCTCTCTCTCTCTCTCTCTCTCTCTCTCTCTCTCTCTCTCTCTCTCTCTCTCTCTCTCTCTCTCTGTCTCTCTCTCTCTCCCTCTCTATACCTCTCTATACATCTCGCTCTCTGTCTCCAGCTGTTTTGTTCAGGGAAAGGCTTACCTTTATGTCTCTACCTTACACACATTTTACAATGTACACAGTAATGAATAGTTTTTTGTGTACACACTGCTGATTTGTTTGCTGTGCTCATAATATCCTATTTAGTTCAGAGAAAGCTCCTTTCTCCTCATGGAATAGTTGTGTGTTTGCACAGACGACAGGGTAGGGAATCATTGTGTCAACACATCCACTCCAGCTTGATTACACTACATTGCAGGAAAGGGAAATAAATAAAAAATAAAAAAAATATTTAGAGATTGATGACTTGGTCACTAAATTCCAAATGATGAGAGTCTATAATTACATTTGATTTAGTAAATGAATACCCAATGTTTGACTAAGTTTGAATGTAAAATGATTTAGTCACTTTTATAATAAGTATTTTTTATTTTCTATCTCTGTTTTTTGGCTGTCTGTTATGTACATCAATGGAGAGCAGGTTTCTGATTCACCCTCCCTGTGTTAGTTTCTCAAACATGTCTTCTTTACCCTCCCTTTACAGCATGGCCTCTCAATCAAACTTGCTATTTGGCAGGGAAGAGGGTCTCTGCTGGTACTGTATATCTCCTCAGTCAGAGGAGGCTGGTGGGATGAGCTATAGGAGGATGGGCTCATTGTAATGGCTGGAATGGAATGAATGGAACTGAGTCAAATATGTGGTTTCCATATGAAGTGTTTGAAACTGTTCCATTAATTCCATTCCAGCCGTTACAATGAGCCTATCTTCCCATAGCTCCTCCCACCAGCCTCCTCTATTCTCAGTGTATAACTAGCCACACAGCATGGCACTGTTTCCCAAACCTGGTCTTTGAGGACCCCCATGCATGCTGGTTTTCAATTAAAACCAGATCCAATAATTATTCGACAGAGGCTTCATATGGAGCTGCTGGTAGTAGTCATCCTTGAAACTCACTATCAACTCAGTTTAAGCTAATTTATTGAGAGGTTGGTTTAAAGTGAAAACTGTGCACACAATGGTCCTTCTGGACCAGGTTTTGGGAAACGGCGCTATACTGTACTGTACTGTAACCGTGTGCTTCTGGCTGATCTAGCTGTGTTAGCGCTCTGAGCTAGCCTGAAGAGCGAGCCTTCATCACTGTCACCCGGCCTGCTGACTCTGACCCGTTTTATTCTCCATAGCAACAGGACCCCTGTGGCACTATAATCCATCTACCTGTACAAGTCCATAATGCCGGGCTTACACTTGATAAATTGGCACAGAGAAAGGCAGAGTAACTCTGTCAAGGGATTAGGGAGTGTGAGTGTGCACATGAGCGAAGGTATGTGTGTGTGTTGTAGGGTAAAGACGCACATTCTTGCATCTTCTTTTACTTTTTTCTGTTTCTGAGGAATTGAGAGAATATACAAGAATATGAATGGGTCATTGTGCCTTATAATTGCATTAGCTTAAAGGTCCAGTGCAGTCAAAACCATGATTTTCCTGTGTTTTATATACAGTGAGCGACAAAAGTATTGGGACAGTGACATTTTGTGTTGTTTTGGCTCTTTCCTCCAGCATTTTGATTAGAAATTATACAATGACTATAGGGGTAAAATGCAGACTGTCAGCTTTAATTTGAGGTTATTTCCATCCATATCGGGTGAACCGTTTAGAAATTACAGCACTTTTTGAACACAGTCCCCCCATTTTAGGGGACCAAAAGCATTGGGACAAATTCACTTATGTGTATTAAAGTAGTAAAAAGTTTAGTATTTGGTCCCATATTCCTTGCATGCAATGATTACGTCAAGCTTGTGACTCTACAAACTTGTTGGATGCATTTGATATTTGTTTTGGTTGTGTTTCAGATTATTCTGTGCCCAGTAGAAATGAATGGTAAATAATGTATTGTGTCATTTTGGAGTCACTTTTATTGTAAATAACAATATAATATGTTTCTAAACACTTCTACATTAATGTGGATGCTACCATGATTATGGATCATCTTGAATGAATCGTGAATAACGATGACTGAGAAAGTTACAGACGCACAAATATCATACTCCCCCAAAAATGCTAACCCTTGTTATTGTAATGATGAGAGGTTAGCATGTCTTGAGGATATGATATTTGTGCGTCTGTAACTTTCTCACTCATCATTATTCAAGATTCATTCAGGACTATCCGTAATCATGGTAGCATCCACATTAATGTAGGCGTTTAGAAATATATTCTATTCTTATTTGTCTCAATACTTTCGGTCCCCTAAAATGAGGGGACTAGGTACAAAAAGTGCTGTAATTTCTAAACGGTTCACCCAATATGGATGAAAATACCCTCAAATTAAAGCTTGACAGTCTGTACTTTAACCTCATAGTATCATTTCAAATCCAAAGTGCTGGAGTACAGAGCCAAAACAACAAAACATTTGTCACTGTCCGAATACGTTTGGAGGGTTGGAATAATACTGTGAAATTGTGAGAATTATGATAATTGTAAGAGCTGTTTAAAAGAAGAAAAATAAAGAAAAAAAGTTCCAGACCTCTCTGCAAATAACAGATAGTTTTCAGTTTTCCCCTCCACACTCTTGAGACATTTCTCTTTGCTAAGAAGCTATTTTTGTTTGTTTTCAATTAAAATAGTCAAAAAGAATCACAATAAGGTACTTAATAATTGTTACCCAGAAAGGATTTGATATCGAGATAAAAACGGCTACATTGGACCTTTTAAGGGTGACCTGATTTTAAGGGTGAAGTGATTCAAGTGAGTAGGTTTTTCCAATCGAGGGTGGTGGTGCTGTGGGCTGTGTGCATTTACCCATTGGTGTTTAGTTGTAGATGTCTGGGTACAATTGCATGACTTACTACATGCAAAAGATAAAAGTGACTGTGGACACATGACGCAAGGTATGGGAGTGGTCTTTCGGAATCCAGAGTCAGTCTGCATGGCTTGTGGACCGTGCGCTTCCGTGTGGCCTTTTCATCCAGTCTGTTTGCGTCTCTGTTCGTGTGTCTAACCTCAGTCCATCATCCGTACCTCCCTTCAGGATAGTCTCTTGTAGAATCTACATCATGACGCAGTGTTCCCTAAAACATTAGCAGTGAAACATTACCTGTCGTTAGCAATTAGCCAAAAGATGAGCTGTCAGCCCAGAGTGTGTGTGAACAGTAGGGTGGAACACATAGAGCACTGCACATAGAAATGAAGACCTACACCGTTCATAGAAAGGACACTTATCTACCACTCCCATAAACAATTATATCCTTTCTATCTGCAACGTTCTGATTGTTTTGCCCCTACTCAATTTGCTGACACATTTGTCATCTAGGATACTCCCTCCCCCCTCCACCTAGTGTGTGGAGGTGTTGACTCTATGTTCCATCAGCGCTTACTGCACTGTGTGCTGGTTTGCAGGTCCCTGTCTGGGCTCCTGTGTTTAAAGTAATGTTCATGGTGATGTTGATATGCGTGTTCATAAGGAGTGTTGCAGTTACCCTGGCTGACCAGCAGATGTCAGCACATGTCTCACCATTTCTCTCTCTCCTCTCTCTCTCGCTCTCTCTCTCTTTTCTCTGTCCCTCCAGGCCGGTGGGCCACTTACCTCAGGGCACCATGCTGACCATCAACACCAACCCAAACCCCAACATCAGCATCAAGTCAGAGCCCGTGTCGCCCAACCGTGACCGCAGCACCCCATGCTCCACAGCCGGGGGTGGCGGAGGAGGGGGCCTAGTGACCATCACAGGGGCCCCTATGTCAGGCCAGTACCCAGGGGCCCTGCGCCTGGAGCCGTCCACCATGCAGGGCCGCTCGCCCGTCGGCAGCCTGAGCAGCAACGGCAGCTCCTACGAGGGGGACCGGGACGATGGGGCCCAGGGGCGGGCCCAGGACTTCCACCACCAGGGAGGGGCCTCCTCGGCCATGGGGCTGCTGAGGCCCTCGTCCACGCAGGAGCAGCAGGAGCAGGAGGGGGCCAACGTGAAGAGAATGAGACTGGACACCTGGGTCACATAGATGTGTTAGAACAATAGAGTGAAGGGGAGAGATGCCCCCCCCCCCCCCCCCCCCCCCCCCCCAACCCCACCTACTTACCGTATGTACAGTAAATGCTGACCTCACACACACGCCTCCACCTCACACACACATACACATGCACCGGACACGCCCATTTGCGCATGCTCTTACACACCCTCTTTCTCTCACAAATGTATGCATTGACACTCAAGCTGCATACTGTTTTACACTATATTGTACTACACACACACACACACATGCTCACACAAACACCCTCTATAGGGGCAGAGTCACCGAACCAGGGATTACATGTCAACATAGTGTGTTGGACAAGAATAGGACTGGAGTGAATGAGTTTTCTTTTGTTCAAGCTCGCTCTGCCTCCTTTTCGTTTTGAAAGGAACGAGAGCAGCTCAAAAACTGACTGACTATTGACTGACTATTGGCTTTGCTGGGTTTTCTCTTCCCCCTCTACATCAAATAATACACACCTGATATCCTCCTGTCTTTTATCCACAGTAGGTCTCTAGTCCAGCTGCACTGCGCTGTTGAGAAACAGTATGACAACCAAAATGAATCCACTTCTTTGTATCTGCCCAGTGCACTGTTATATCCAGCTTTTGGTGTTTTTGTAGAGTATGAGATTGGTGTATATGGAATACTACGTCCTCTCTCTGTCTGACTGTTGTCCATCAGCCATCTTTACATTTCTATTAACATTTCGATTTTCGATTTGAGAACGCAAAATTCACTGAGTCAAGCTGACTAGCTATCCATTTTATAAGACAGGATTTACTCTTCTAAAGTGGATGATCCTTGTCTTGTTTAGTTTTAGCCAGGTATTTAATCAGAACCATGCAAATAGCTGTTTAATCTGAAACATTGTACCTTATCTAGGTAAAATACTGTTTTATCAGGGAAGGGCTGCACCAGCTCTACGACACATGCTACAGATACCTACAGATCAACTTCAGATGCTGCGTGTGTGTTCCTGTTCTTTGATATTTATTTCAAATGCTCTTTTTGTGTAAAGGTTTTTGTTACTACCTTCTGGACTTTTCGATTTTCCCCACGCTCAAATCCATCCCACACACACGAAAAGTATTTTTGTTAAACAATGCCTGTGTTTCGGAAGGCTCTGAATAAGAGATGTAAACTGGGAGAAAAAGCGAAAGAACTGTGTATATAAACAATTTGTTCACTGTGTGTCTTTCTGTATGGCTTTTGTATAGCAGGGACATCGTTTTTTGAGAGTAAACATATAGAGCATATATATATATATATATAAATATATATTTAAACAGCAGCGATAGCAGGTTTTGAGAGTAAGTGATGAACTGCATACGATGCAGAGAAAATGATAGACAGGGATTGTATATAGAAATATATGTTCACATATGTTCAGCAGGATATCCCTAAAAGCTAATGTGTTGCTTCTCAGTGGATCTGTCTTTCTAGTTATGTGTGTGTACATAAGGGTACTATGTTGCAAAGCCAAGGGAGGGTGCTAGAGGGACAGAAAGGGAAGTAGCAGTTGATTGGACTGTTTGAGTGGGCAGTGGTTAGTACTCTGACAGAGCGCACTTTAACCCCTTCCTCCCCCCAAGCCCCCAAAATGCCCCCTCTCTTTAAAAGCCAGGTGTCCTCCAGAATGGGACAGTCATGTCTGCATGTCCTCAGGCACATCAAACTCATCCAACACACACACAAACACATTCACACACACACATTAGCCAGACAAGTATCCCCTATGCTTTCTGTTAGAGGAGAGTTCCTCCCTGGCCACATTTAGTAATTACAGCATTTCACTCATTGATCTGTTGTGTAAACTCGACTGCACCCTACCAGTGACTTAAAATACAAGTCCATCTCACTCTCATTTGACCCCCACCACTATCAAATACCACACTCACATATACTCTGCACTCTGTACTCCGTCCAGAACAGGTTCAAATGACCTCCCATTGGCTCTTTATCGTTTTATATCGTTGTAGTTGTTGCCGTAGGAATTGTGCAGCCTGACTCTTCAGGAGTCTAGACGATCATCTAGAGACGGTTGGCAAAAAGAGAGAGCGAGCGATCACGCCTGCCGGCATATTCGCACACCCTTAGACTGTAAGACTGTTGTGTCCTTAGCTTTGAACAAAACGTTGACCCTGATGTTTTTTAAAATAATAATGGTAGCTATGTCTTGAATAGGGCCACAATACATGAAGCAATGTTTCATACCTCTAGACTAAATGGTGATTAGTGGAAGCAGACTATGGGGAGATGTGGTTGGTTAGTACTCTGGACGTTGGCCAATCGAGGTGTTGTATAAAGCTCTGACATTATCTCAGAACAACACTAAGGGTAACTGTAATCACAAACGAAAAGACAATCGTCATGACAATAGTTAACCTGCGCCCCCATATTACCCAAGTATAATGAATGATGTTTAGAGAATCTCACTTTCCAGTGTTAATTTTTGCTGGTGACAGTTCTATTCAGTTGTATTGTCTGTTTTTATTATAATTGTTCTATGATAATTGCTATTATTACTGTTAATATTATCATTATTGTGACCATCGATGGTAATTGTAATGATGATATTTTATTTTTTGCGGTTTTGTGTAGGTTAGGAATCTTGTTTTATTTGAATTTTATTTTATTATATATAAATATTATATAAATATATTTTTGTTTTGTTTTCATTTTTTGGTTTGTTTTTTCTTCAAAGGGTGTACTAATATTGCACGATTTATGACATAAAACAAAACCGCTGTAGTAATATTAGTACATGTGAGATCATGAAAGGTGGTAAACAAGTTGAATATAATGACCAGTTCAATGCTGCAATTTTTTGTCAAATGTACAAAACTTAGTCTACACATAGTAAAGTGGGGACAAGACACATTTAATTTATTTCTGACCAGACACAAAGATGTCAATGCATGGGCGTAACACAAACAAATTATGAAATGTAATATCAATAAGAATATACATCACATAGAAATTGAAGAAAAAAGTTAATAAATTGTAGCTAATATATTGTGTTCGGCTAGTCTGCTTTTTGTTGTAAAAAAAAATAAACTTTTTTGTTGTTTTTGGAGAATGATATACAATTTGTGTATATTTTCATAAATAAAGTATGCACTGATATGTTATTACAAATTCTATACTGCTTTTACAAAAAAAGTGTTTGTTATTGTACCAAAGTATCCATTTGTCCCTTCTTACCCTCCCCTTTTTGCGTATGTTTTATCGTATTTTATATATTAAATAGACAAGTTGACCTACAAAGAGGTTTGGTTTGTTATTATTATGATTTACATTAGAATGTGCATTTGTGTTGTTCACTATCAAAACATTTGATAATTTATCAATACAAAAAACTAAACAAAAAATGAAACGTGATGTATCATCTGTTTGGTAAGTGACAGACAATATGGGACTGTTGAGAGAGTATCTCATTAATTGCCAGAGATGTTGGATATGTGAAGTGAAGTGATGTATTTTCACCATAAAATGTCACTACATGTGCTGGTAATGCTTTGGGCATCATTATCATGTGTTCAGATCTACTGAATTATTTTACTTGTTTTGGTTTTTCTTAGTTTCCAAAAATGGAAATATTTCTAGGAATAATTTACTAAATCAAATCACATTTAAAACATTCCATTTTTCGCAAGAAAAGTGATAAACTTAATTGACTTAAACTGCATGTTATGTGAGACACTACGCCACAGTATTTGAATGACATGACGACTAAGATTAATACTAATAAAACAACTAACGCTCATATAAAATTCCTCTGTTTCTAAATCATAACTGTTATGGGAGGAAAAGAGAAAAGCCAAATGATCTTGGAAGTCGAGACTTGGGGGAGTTCTAATGGAGAAATGTTGTATTGAGGCGTCTATTCATTGCATGATAACTTTTCCACTGACATAATCTCTATTATTTAAAGAAGTGCAAGATTTCAGTTTCTAAATGTATCATTGGACATTAAATTGCACAGTAAACAAATACTTAATAAATAAGACCCTGTTTAGACCCAATTTTCAGATAGAGAGAGAGAGTGAAGTGTGTGTGTCTTGTGAAGTGTAGTTTCTAAGGCGTGGCACAGGGGAAAAGGGACTAAAGGCAGGATGTCTCAGTTTTAATCTGGCACTCCAGCCAGTTGGAGAGATGTGGTGGGGGTGTATTGTCCCCTCCTCCAGCCAGTTGGAGAGATGTGGTGGGGGTGTATTGTCCCCTCCTCCAGCCAGTTGGAGAGATGTGGTGGGGGTGTATTGTCCCCTCCTCCAGCCAGTTGGAGAGATGTGGTGGGGGTGTATTGTCCCCTCCTCCAGCCAGTTGGAGAGATGTGGTGGGGGTGTATTGTCCCCTCCTCCAGCCAGTTGGAGAGATGTGGTGGGGGTTGTATTGTCCCCTCCTCCAGCCAGTTGGAGAGATGTGGTGGGGGTGTATTGTCCCCTCCTCCAGCCAGTTGGAGAGATGTGGTGGGGGTGTATTGTCCCCTCCTCCAGCCAGTTGGAGAGATGTGGTGGGGGTGTATTGTCCCCTCCTCCAGCCAGTTGGAGAGATGTGGTGGGGGTGTATTGTCCCCTCCTCCAGCCAGTTGGAGAGATGTGGTGGGGGTGTATTGTCCCCTCCTCCAGCCAGTTGGAGAGATGTGGTGGGGGTGTATTGTCCCCTCCTCCAGCCAGTTGGAGAGATGTGGTGGGGGTGTATTGTCCCCTCCTCCAGACAGTTGACCATAGTGGCAGCTGTTCTGTCCTGTGTAGCACATGAGCTCATGTCTCAGACAGACATACACTTCTGTCTCCAGTGGCAATGGCCAACTAATAATAATTTATAATCCAGACCACTCAGTCTGTGGCGGTATACCTCGCAGGTTAGCGTTTTTTGTCATGAATCTTATTCTGGAGGCAGCTCTGCAGAGTGGTCACTAGCTGGCACAGCCACAAAGTCATACGATCTTATTTTAAACTTCCCCTTAACCACACTGCTAACCC